ATTGTTATTATTTGTCTGTGATGGAGCTTGCTCTGAAAATAAATCAGCCCCATATTCCCTTTTGGGGTAAATAAAAAAATGTTGGACCATTTTGAGGGCCATAAACAGTGACTGTTCAATGGAGAACCTGGCCCTACCATAGGAAAGTGGAATTTCCTTCATGGATTCCCAACTGCCAACAGGAATAAGCATCACAAGCGTGTGTACATGTGAGCATGGAAATATTTTTACGAGGATGAACGCAAGGTGTTAGTATGAAGTTGTATTTGTTTAATAAACGTTACATTTACAGTACTTCTCAGATGTGTTTTCAGATTGTACTGTTTTTTTGTAAATCCAAACTACATTATACTGCAACAAATATTTTAACATTGCAGCTATGCATTGAATTGATATGTTTGTTGTTGTTAAAGAATACAATCTGACCAACTATTTCAACAAAATATTATAAGTTGAAAACTCTGCCAAGCTGTGCTATCATTGTCTAAATATCTACCAAAGTGTACATATGGTTACATTCTGTCCTGTGAAGAGTATATATTTTATATGTATAGGAGCTTTAAACACGCAAGCACTTTATAGCTATGTTTTTGAAGCTTAATCCAATTTGAAACATGAACTACACTTTGTTATGTTATGAATAGAAGAGGATTTTAAAAATGGCATTGGGTCAAGAATAAGTCTTCATTTAATCATATAGTGGAACATTCGCTTTTTCAAGTATGTGCAAGCAAGAAATTTTTTTACCGTATTTATCAAAATCAAAGCAGGAGTGTAATGCATCATGACGTTCGTTGGGGCAATTGGGTCACATGGTAAGATGTGACCAAAAAACGAATTCTACGTTCTACCACCATAAATATCGTAAAATATATATATATGACTGTGCACGGATTTTTTTTTAAATAACTAATCGATGCAAGTAAAGTCTTAACGTTGTTCAAACACCAAAAGGTGACTGAAAGTACCCGACTTCATATTTTTGTAAACTATACGTGTTGAATGAATGGTAATTGGGCAAAATAAGAATACTGCGTTATGGGATAACCAAATAATGGGTTTGAGGCACCTTTTGAAAGACGTAACTTTTTTCATACCTGAAAGGTCACCCAAGCCGTTATGTAATAGATTTAATTCATGTTCTCACCCAAATGACCCCGCAATGAGAAACAGGGCAGAATGATAAGGATCGTGCGAGTCTTGGAGTCCAAGGGTCATGGGTTCAAAACCAAACCCAGCCTTCTTTCTGCATGACCAAATAAGCACACCAGACACGGTTGTGCAGCTCGTAGGAATGGATAGTTTATTATTTTATTTCAGTTACGGTGGACGATGACTTCTAAAATAAAATGTTTGGCCAGCACCGTAAGTTATATTATGCTTTGGGACACAATATTGAGCTTAATTTGACAGCTATTCATAAAAAAAACCGAGTGCTTTATTGCTCTCAAGATGAAAACTGCATTAGAGCTTGGCTTAATATACGGTGAAGTAATGGATACTGGTTAATATACGATACTCAGATTACATATAAGGCTTCACTTTAATCACATCAGAAAAATAACATTCTTTTTGCTCTCCATGTACCGCAAAATAAGGCTATAAAAACGTAGTGTTTTTTAAATGTTTATAATCTTTTTTAAATATCAGCTTGGAAATGTGTTGAAAGCCTTTAACTGAAAATCCACAGGACATTCATTGTGTATTTTTCAAGTAATACTTAGGTATACAGCAGTTATTTTTTAAAGGAATATACCAAATAATGATAATCGAGTTAAGTTATCCTACACATTTAACATTTTATAATTTAACTTTTAATACAAAATATTTAACTTCGTCATCCATTTTAATGATTGAAGGACGTCTATGTCTATTCATCAATAGTTACGAAGAGGTAACGTCATATGCCAGTTTGAGAACTGTAATTCGCAAAAAAAATCAAATTTTATTCATACCAGGCCCCATGGTATGATGTATACTATATTTATATACTTATTTTGAAGCCCGTTCTCAAGCATATTGGTTAAGTAGGTAATGATTCATTGTTTAATAAATAAAGTCACTTACTACACTCAAAATACATTTGCTCATGCCTGTAAGAATGTATAATTTTCTATTTGTGAAAATGGACATTGTTTTATAATGGTTAAAATGAATAATAATAATCGCACGAGACGGTACAAATTAAACCGTGAAAACCAGACGTAGCAACCGATCCACAAACAATTAACTGTTCAACTGAATCACGATCTGGAATTTTTTACATGTGTAGTGCACTAATTCACAGACACTAGTAGGAGGGTACTCTCTCTCTCTTATATTCCAGCCTTCGGGCATTACTATACACCGGGTCGGGACAGCCAACATGCTGCCAGAACCACAGCTTGCACAGGGCGAAGATCTCGATAACAACGGCACGACACGTTCCCCCTCTATATAGCAGCCGCCCTGAGTCGGAGCTCGCCTTATATCCTGACACAGCGTGGCCAGGCTCCGCCCACTGCCCCGCACCCCTCTGGATCCCCCAGAGGGCTCCGTGCCTTGCCCACAGGTGCAACCCGTAGAACGGGCTGCTGTTACCCATAATTATATTGTCTACCAATCCCCCAGTGGCACGCGCTACAGTGACTCATCAATTCACTACACATGTATCAAATCCCAGGAGCATAGGGTTTGAATATTTTCCAACCCAATTGTTCATACATCAGATGCCTAGAAAATGGCAATATGATTAATTGGTTACGAGCAGCAAGTACTACTAGACTGAGAGTTTTAATGAAATGCTTGAATCCATCAAGTCACCCATACCACACTGCAGGCATGAAAGACAAGCGTTGCTGGATACATTCCACTGGTATCCACGCAGTGTTAATCATTCTTCAATTTTTTACATTTTCGGTAGCTGCGCAGAGGGACCCTTAATGTCTGCAACTCTATTGTGCTAATAGTCATGTCTTTTGTAATTCCTCTCTGGAGAAGAGTGAATAAAAATGAAATGACTCTGTCATTCATTAGGTGGAGCTGCAGGCTTTGTGAGTGTTAAATATGCTCTCACCACATGACCGTGCACGCACCCAGACTTGAGCCCTCCAGCAATGCATTATTAACATCCCTGGGAAAACAATACATTCATCTCTCGTGTTTTTCAGATGTATTTCTCTCAACCGCGGTGTCACGTTGGGCTTAACTTTATTAGCTTAAATAATATTGAGAACAAAGTTAACCAGTGTAAACTTTAAATACCTGTACATTCATAATTAGGCGTGCAATCCTGCAAGACTACACGCAGCACTGAATAATATTCCATTGTGATTTATTTCTAGCATTATTGTCTAAATATGTATTCTCGGCATAGCAGTCGAACACCAGTGCCTTATATTAAATGTTTAACAATGTAATATACAGTCCCTTGTCACTGAACTGCCGCATAAAGGCTACTTAATACATATTAGTAACAGGGGGCTTGTGTGATTATGCTTCACCGCACTGGTCATTGCAGGTGAGTGAAGGGGGCCCAGGATAGGTTCAGATTTTACTCGCCATTATTTTAGCCATGGCCAGAAATAATAAAAATGAGGGTGGCCGGTTTCTTATGGCAATGCTCTGTAGCAGGTATCAAACCCTATAATCTGTGCAAAGTGGCCCAGGAGTACCGCACCTCTGATTAGCACGGTTGCCTACGTACAGTGCTAAAGAAGTTCAACATGCATACATACCGAATGAAAATGCTCTTTTTTAACAGTACAATGTCTTCAATTTATCTGAAAAAGCCTAAATTAGTCTAAAGGCAATTCTTTGGAATGGTCCTGCATGGGGATATGTGGCGAATACCCTTAATGAGTAAGGGAATAAATTTGAACATTAGGAAATTAATGTCCATGAAATAAACCTCACGTGGTCGGGTACAGACGTTGAATAACGTCTCATATTTTCCGCAAAGAGAAGCACTGATAGCATTGTCTCGTAAATGCTTAATATGGCTGCTGGCTGACAAGAGACGCGGAGATCTCCACTGCAACAGCTGTTCGTGTTTCTCATCAACATGCCTTGCGTGTGCTGTTAAGAGGGAGTTCACAGACAGACACTTGTTTGCAGTTTTACATCTTGTTTTAATGACATGGCTTACAATTGTGAAGACTACTTGAAGCAGCTGCAGTGTTTTTTTTTTTTGCAACGAACGCGCTGTTGCCAACAACCCCTTATCCCCCTGGGTGCGGCAACGAAGAGCAACATTGACAAAGTCAGGATCTTGCCGAAGGCCGCACCCGCTGGCATATCTGTTCGCAGTATTGAGGTCCTTCGCCCAAATCTAAACCGAGCTTTGGCGCTCCACAACTGGTACTTCAGCGGTGGAGAACTATGTGTTCTGTATTTAATAGATGTAAGGAGGACAATTGTGCCAGGGCGGATTAGCCTGAGCCATATACCCACAAGTGGCAGCACGGCTGGCTGACTTTGTCCAATCTTGCGGCGGCACTTTTGGCCTGCTCGTGTGGCCCATTTCATTTAGGCAAATAACCCGAGTTTATTTTATGCTGAAAGGGCCAGCACACTTCATCCCTGACAGGGACCTATTGTGGCTCCAGGTAAGGGAAGTAACTGGGTTCTGCCTCAGGTTTTTTTAAGCCGTGAAATCAATTTTTCCTACCAGAATAGGTCTGGCGAGAGCTCATTAGCAGCCACTGCTGCATTACACATCGACTCTGCTTTCTTTTTGGACTCTAACTGATTAATCAGCTGCTCATGTTACCTGCAAATGGAAAAGCTGAGGCAGAGGTCACTTCCCACGTAAACTGTAGGTGCTGCGTGCCCCCTGATTCCTGAGTGACAATGGCACTCAGGCAAAATAAAGTCAATCACTGTCACCTACAATTACACACTCATCTTCATTGTTAAATATTTATGAATCAACTATAGAGGGGAAAATCCAATTGTGAAATTACTGAAAAGGTAGGAAAATGCAGTGCATTATTAAATCATGTTAAGTTATTATTTATTTATAAATGGAAAGAGAAGCACAGTGGTAATAGCACCGTGCTATGAACCAGTATATCCAAGTGAGATTTCTGTGAACTTGTCCTGAATCCCTACCTTTGACCAAAGCCGCACTTATCAGCGTTGTGAAACAAATCCCCATCATGGATCAAGCATTAGAAGGCCCTTATTCAGTCAGTCGTGGGTTGCCAAAAGGATGTGATATATTATTAGAACCTCTTTATACTGTAATAACGTACCTTTGAAAATTACTGGAGGGAAGCTGTGGAGGCTGGCAGTCTGAGGCAAAGCGTGAACCACATGAGCATAAAAAAACGCATCGTTTCGCCACTTGGCTATGTGGCACAAATAGGACAAACACTTCAATTGGTGGTGGGGGCAGAAAAATAAAGATTTTTAAACGCCTGATGCAAAATTTATCACAACCAGCATTATCCTCAACAAAACCAAGAGCAACACAACTAGACGTAAAGCACATGAAAAACATTTAAGTTTATAGTTTTGTGGCGTACAGCGAGCCATTAAAGGTGGCTTAAACCCAGCCTGTTGCAATTCAACTACAGTGCCCTTTGGTTTTGACGTAGGTATGGTTTTAGTTCCAAGGGCACTGACACACGATGACAGTATATAAACAGCTCTTTCAGAGAACACTAAGCACCATTTGAATGGGAACTCAACTCCAGCAGGAATGATGGTCCACAGCTCACCGCTTGAAAAAGCCAAAACCTTAACAAGGCAGCTTTTAGGATCTGATGACAAAAACACATCATTGCAAAGCAATGACTCCAGTAATAATGTTTCGGTTTGTTACCAAGAGGGTGCCTTAACAGCCGACAAATTGAAGAGCTCAGGTATGACATTTTGCCTTCATGTATTGCTATACGTGGACAAATATATTGTGATAATGGGATGTTTAGTAATAGTCCCACAAAACGTTAAAAACTATTTAAAAGTTTGTATTTGTCAAATAGTACATGGATATTAAATTTGAAAAAGTACATAATCTAACAATCCTGAAACTATGTTGCAACTCGCTAAGCTGTGGTGGGCTATTCATTAACTGAGGGATTGTGTGAGTTGAGTCAACGCTTGACCGGGTTTCAAACTTACAGCTTTTCACTCGTGAACCAAGTGCTGTTACAGCACCACCAGAGATATTTTGGGGGGAGAAAATAATTTAGAAGTATGTATTGCTGATTTATTTGACAATTGAAAATACAATTTTTTCAACGGTTTTACTTAACTTGACTCCTGTGCATGGTCAAATCTTGTAATCAAAATTTAGTCTCATAATAAAGGTTTTTTGGGTTAGATCGCGTTATTTATAAATGTGTCGTAACCCTCCACCACCCGACACGGCCAATCAGCAAAAAAATGTTACGTTGACAAAAGACAAATAGTTCACTACTTTAGCCCACCGGTGTGTTGAAGAGTGAATCCACAACATTTACAGTTTGAGTACGACGTTTCGCTGGTAATTACATCCAGCATCATCGGGCAATTCGCCAGAATGGTTAAGCCCTCACTTGCTCCTGGTCTTAAATAGAGCGAAAGCCTACGTGATAAAATTTAGTCTACTCCCTGTTGTTCAATGAATTCCAAATTTTGCACACGTACTCGGATACGGTGACAATGCATGCCTATATCAATTAATTGGCTCTTTTAAAGCAATTAACATTTTGTATGGACGGCTTATTAATTAAATATTTTTTTGGGTAGGTCAAAAACGCAGCGGTCCCTAAACCCTGGAATCGCCTCGCCCAAGAAGCAGGTGCCACGTGTCTCTTGTAATGAAGATGTCGTCCACTTAGCGTTGTCCAATCGAGTTATTTACTTTTTAGTGCACTTTAAAATAAAACCGTTGTTTAAAAAAATAAAATTTTAAGGAAGTTTATTTTTTACTAAGCATCTACCATATGACCGTTATTGTGTTACAAACGCTAGAAGAGCTGCAAGTATGAGACTGTGTTCCATTATAAGCATTAATGAATTGTCTTATATGTCTTAAAATAAACTAGCACGGCACAAAATGATGAAATGTTACTGACAATTGTCAGAGGTGATATTTATATTCACTGATATTCCAGCAGTTTTTTTGAATGTACACCTAACATCCTATGCTGTGTACATTGATCTTGCCAACATCTTGATATTATGCATGTTCATGAACATAGATTGCAAAACATAAGTTCATGTATTTTTTAGAATGCAGTATTATATTTTGTCTTAAATGATGGTCATTGTTTATATTTCCTAAGTTGAGTGCAAGACATGCATTCAGATATATATTTGTTTCTTTTCCCTTGTAAATAACATTTTTTAAATGTAATATACCAAATGTAACACTTTTCAAAACAATCCATTACCGGATTTTAAACACCAAAACACCCATTATAATCTGTAGAAAAATACTTTAGTATTTACCAATTAAAAAATCTACTGTGCAAATCAATGTCTATGTATTCGTTAATTCAGCGTGTGCCTAATTCATGATATATTAAATACACTATTAATAGCTCATCAATACATTGTAATTAAATTATTTGTCGATTTTATTTTCAGGCTCGGAGAAACCGCGATGTCAACAACGCCGCCTGTCAGATGAAGGCATCACATCGAGACGAGGCCGGTGGTCAAGCCCTTCAAGTCCCGTGGTCTGGCGGAGAGACCACTCATCGTCGCCCAGGTCAAATCCAAGGGCCCAGAGCTCCTCCGGTGTCAACCCTTCAGGGGCACCACCCTACAGCCCTGACAAAGTAATCAGTCCGAGTTTCAAGCGGAGAACATTTGCTACATTGCCATCTCAAGCCGGTCACCAACAAAGAGAGAACATGTCTTGTCCTACAACTCCGTCAACTCCCCGTCAATACTTCTTCCCATCAACATCGAACTCTCTTCATCAGCATAAGAGGCTACAACATTCAGAACAGCCTTTTGTGAGCGATGATCAGAAAAATCGAGTTCAAAGTGAAAATGTCTTTCCCAAGTCAGAGGGGAAGGTAATAATGGTTAAAGAAACATGTCAGAGCTCAGGAGATCTGTTCAACTTACAAAAGCCACCGAGGGCAGAATACCGTCACCGTCGCATAAGAAGCACAGACAGCCAGCCGTCCACGGAACAAATTTCTCATCAATCTATTGTGAAAGAACCCATTTCTAGACAAAACAATGGTAAGCATGGAAGAGACGATGGGAGGCCACATGGTCCGATATTCCCAGTGTGGAAAGAAAGGCCTAATTTAAATTTAGAACGGATTCAGCTGCCTATTAAGGAAAATCCACAAATGACCCAAGACCGCACACATGTCTCAAAGTCAGTGAAGCACCACCCTGTTGACCATCCACAAAGAAACACTCAGGTTGCTACTAGAGAGGAGCAAGTGAACACTAACCAAAGCAAGGAAAATAGAGTCAACAAGCACGCCAACATTCTACCACAAAACTTGCCCGCCTCCCTGAAATGCCTCTTCAAAAAAGCAAAGCCGGTCAACATGTCCACACCCTCTACTCCTGAAATGAAGAGGAGGGTTATGCCCACGACGAGGGACAACCAGAGGATGCCTCCCGGCACCCCTGCCGGGCTACCGAATGCAAGGCTCACGTGCAGCCGCTCCATGGTCGATCTGACCAGCGCTCAGCCAGGCAACGTCGCTGTGTCACCACCTGCCCCAGCGTCTGGAAGCTCAAGTCCGACCGATGCACGAGGACAAGTGGTCGATGCCAACCCAGGCAGCCGGGGCATGTCGGAAGTGGAGCAGATGAACATGGCCATCAGGCTGTCGTTGCAAGTGCGCAACGATCCGCTCAGCCCACGGAATCAAGGTACAAACATGACGAAATGGACGGTTACGATAGTGCAGTAGCGATCGTGCGTACAATCCCTACATAGTTTTTTTTTGTATGCGTTCCAACTGAGGTTGACAGCGTTCATGCATTGGCTATGTCTGGTCCGTCTGCCCGTCTGTCTCTCCATGTCTGCAAATGGGAGTCGCTTTGACTGTCTTAAAGATAATCCAATATCAATTGAATTGGATTATACAATTCTGTTGATATTTGACAATTGGGTAAGTGTATTAAATTGACGAAAACATAGCAATACGTTTACAAAGGTTCGCCTTATTTCCAAATCGTGATGACATCACACAGATCCGATGAAATAACTACAATGTCCGTTGCCTTGTGACTCAAGCTCAAATATGCATTAGCATCGTAAGCCAGAGTAATCCACCGCTGGATGAAGGCCGCTCCAAGCCACCATCTATCACAGTGCTGCGATGCAGAAAGCCATCCAGACACCCGCACATGAGCTGGCCTTATCGCTCCATCTCCTCCATGGATACGTCCCTTATATTGGTTGCCACTCCATAATTCACGACATACATCAGCACTTCTAGCCATGGCAATCGTTCAAGCTGAACATTTGATTTTCTGAGGACATGTGCATTTTATACAGGATGAATGCTTGCGTGTACATTTTCACACTTTTATTTAAATTGTACAACAATCCTGCATGGAATGTCGGTGATTCCACAGCAACGGAATTACAAGTACAGTGTAGGTAGTGTAATACTCAACACAGCAGTCAACTAGAGTCTCATGTGTTGCACCAACCTGCTGCGTAGGCACATTCAGAAAGCCACGAAACCTCAAGCGATGCTTTATGATGCATTGTTTGATTACCAGGCCCTGTGTCCCCAACTCTAATTCCGTTACTCCAGAATTGAAAATTTTACATGTAAATAGACTAAAGTAAATAATTTGTAACACGAACGCACTCGCTGTACTAAATCACGTGTCATTAATCCACGGCTGGATGAAGGCATCCCCATGCAGGTTTGTGGAGGTTACCTCGCCATACACTGCCACGCAGGTCAATGCGGGTTTATGAAGACGGGGAGCATAGACGTGGGAGCATAGAAATGCAGTGCAATCGTGCAGCAGTGGATTTTGCTGCAACACCGTCTACTGCCCACCATGTAGCGCTGCATTCGAATGACACCCTGTTTGTGCATGGTTGGTTGCCCATCCAAGCATTATTCAGGCTCAAACCTGCTTATCTTCCAAGATCTGCCGAGACATTCTGGGTGATTTGGTAAACAGGGAAATAAAAATAACGGTAAGGAAATAATAACATAACTTGCACCCCGATGTCAGTGTGAAGGTGAGAACCAATGTACAGAGCCCAATGGAGCATGAAAACGATTTGAATTAGCTTATACAATACAGGGGGTGTCCCCGATCTACGTCGAGGTTAGGGACCGGAAAGTTGCTACTTATAACGAAACGAATTTCCCCCCATAAGAATAATGAGGTGGAGGGGGGATTGGGACCATAAGAACGTAATCATTGCCTATGCGACGCAAAGCGGGGCAAAATTCTCCCATAAAAAAATAATGAAATAAGGTAAGGATAGGGACCGTAACTTAGGGAAATGTTTTTTCATACCGAGCAACCAAAATATGTACTGTACGTAATGTACACATTTATAACCAATTCTGAGTTAAATAACCTTTAAACAGCATTAATACTTATCAAACACTTAATTTAAAACCATTATTATGAGCATTTCAAAGCAGCCCTGTAGACTTTAAATGTTTTCATTTTTATTTTAAAAAATAACTTGTCACATTTTTAAGCAATGACTCAAACAGAAAACTATTTTACTGCAAAAAAGCACAGAATCTTAAACAGCATTTTTCAAATATTTTACCTTAACCTACTTATTTTATGATCTTACCTTGAGGAGTGGATGAGTTGTGCTTATTGGAGAAAGGTGTTGGGAGATGATTAAACACCTTTTAACACGTAGGCTTTCGCGACCAATATTATTCATAATAAAGGTTTTTGGGTTAGATCGCGTTATTTATAAATGTGTCGTAACCCTCCACCACTCGACATGGCCAATCAGCAAAAAAAGTGTCACGTTGACAAAAGACAAATAATTCACTACTTTAGCCCACCGGTGTGTTGAAGAGTGAATCCACAACATTTACAGTTTGAGTACGACGTTTCGCTGGTAATTACATCCAGCCTGCTGGCGCCAACAAGCGCCAGCAGGCGGCGATCAACACGATGGGCGCCACCCCACCGGCCAAACGCAAGCCCCGGGGGGCGTCCGCCGCAGTCGTGCGCGGCGACGACGCCCTCCGGTCAGCCGTCGATCCTCGGCTTCTTTGCCAAGGCGAGCCCGCCCCCCAGGCAGTGAATTTAACGTGTTTATGTAATTTTTCAACTTTTTACGAAACTTAGTGCCCCGAGTAGCTCTCGACGAGGCCAATCGATTGACACTAGTTTTGTTGTCGGTAAGGCAAGACTCGTGTCGCTACGAAGGTTTTTCCCACCCCGGGGCAATGATGGGACCCCGGGGTCCCGCCAATTGCTTCATATATCGGGTACCCCCTGTACTTGTAATTTCTTTATAATGTATTGTTATACCAACGATTTTTATTATCGTGAATTAAATTAAAGAAAGAGGAATTTCCCACTTATGAGGAAGTCTCTCCCTTCTGACAGCCACATTGCCAGATGGCAAGGAACAAAAGCTGAGCTTTTACCAGTATGATGAGTAACATCCCAAATAAAAAAAAACTCAACACATTTGTCAATAACACTGCCTTGAAAGGAAAAATATATAATTGGTGATGTTTTGGGAAATCCACATTTTTCATAACACAATTGATGAAAAACGGCCATTGCTCAAAGTGTCGCCTATGATATACTTTCCTTTTTAAAGCAGTGTTATTGACAAATATGTTGAGCAGTTGTTGCTTGTTTGTGCTTGTGTACCACTGCCAATGCAGCGTAACCAAATACATTATTTCAGTAAAATTGGCCTTGAGAAGAAATGGTGTGCTCCTTAAAATTACAGCTTTGGGGGACCAAAAAATGTAAAGACTGTCAACACATACTCTTTGTTTTTTTCGGTAAAGTCACGTAGGTAAAATTTAAATAAAAGAAAACAACTAAATTAAATCGTGATTTAATTTAGTTGTTTTATTCTATATACCTACGTGACTTTACTGAAAATACCAAAGAGTATGAATCCTTGCAGTCACGAAAGCTTCAAATCTACTGTCAACACAGGTAATTTTGAGGATGAGATTAATTTACCGTTGATATATGTAGAGAATTTCCTTGAATTAATCTGCATAAAACAGTAGATCACAGTGTGCACAATTATATCATGAATGTGAGCAATGTTACATGTTTAAACAATATTTACATCTGTATATGCATAAAATGCAGTACAGTGCTGGAACGATATGACATGCCATACAAAGTACACTTCTTTCACCTATAAATGCATAATTATCTTTTACACTCATAAAATAGGGGTTTAAATAAATTCCTTTATACTTTGTATATGTCTGGTATATTCTAAACCAGCCAATATTGGATAAAATAGATCATTATCTACAAATTGACTTAACGCCAAACTTCAATCTAAAGAAACCACGTTCCTCCATCAATCATTCTAAATGTGCTTGTATATATAGAATGATGTATATAGCCTCATTTACATGTAAATTGCAAACCTGTGTTACATTGAGCTGTAAAGAAATAGACCCCATCAGCGGCAGGTCCCATATTAGCACCCAAAGAGCCCCAGTGAATGAGCCCCTTGTGACATTAATCAGACCATTTTGAGATCACTGAAATTCTTTTTGAGGCCCTCCCCCTCTGTAAGCCACAACAGTCGCTGACTATGCTTGCTGGGTCATATGAGGGCTCTAGTGATGGGTCATAACAGCCAAGCATTGTAGGAGGCAAATGGATGAGCGTTCAACGTGGCTTAGGTCCAAGGTTTGTCGGTCTGCTACCCAGTGCCTGCCCTTATGTGAACGACACTGATAATTATCCACTTTAACATTATCTAATAGACACCCTGACCTTTTCAGAGGACATTCTGTTTCCCAACCCGGGGCTGTGAAATGTTTCATGACGTTTATTTGTAAAAGTGAGTTATTTGCTGGTGTGGTCCACAAATTGACGTACTTCATATCGAAATGTGCGCACGTAAGTCAAGGGGAAACTTTTCAATTCAATGGAGATACTGTACAGTATAGTATTTTGTTGAAGCAGATCCACAAGGAGAAAATATATAATTATGCATTAATGCAACTCTACAATTTACGTAATTGTATAAAGCATGTAAATAACAGAAACGTATAACCCCAGCACAAGCTATAATCATCACCATTTTATGAAATACAAATGTGTAAAATTGGGTTACAGAAGTTAACACATTGTGGAGTAATAAAACAAGGCTGTGTTTCGTAGTCAATGTGGTATAGACTGCACGCTTTGCTAAAATTATATAAAAAAACACATTTATGAGTGTCATGTCTTTAAAAGGTGTGAATTTGTGTTGTATAATACCTTTTAACACTCAAATAAACTACATTTTCCACATTTATAGAGATTATTTTAACATGGCTTTTTGTAAAATTGTAACCAAATTTAGTTATCAGCGTCTGGCACAATTGAAAGAATTTGCCTACGTTTTAGAACTTAACACAAACCACTTTTAACACGTAGGCTTTCGCGACCAATATCATCCATAATACAGGCTTTTTGTGGTTAGATTATAAACCACTTTTTGTTTAATGCAAAGATAATGCTGGTAAACATAATACATCAATACCTGCCATTCGCGACGAAGTGATGGTGATGTCACTACGGCGCTTGTGCCAAGCCACGTGCACTTTGAGGCCACGTGAATTGTCCAAGGCTCGCTGACAGGAGGTCCCGGGACAGACCCAGGTGCCATGGGTTGGCTGACTGAGATGACTGGTAGATGCACCAGCTGTAATCTTACTGTGCCAACTCGCTGTATTTTAGCTGCTCGGCGCTCCACTCGTTGTTGTGACCGTCGCTCCTCTGCCCTCCGTTGTTGCTGGAGGGCGATTGCCTCCAACTGCCCAGCAGCGTTCTTCACGAGCCTCCTCCACAGAGGCCGATATTGACACCGCTGGTACTAGTCGTCAGCAAGTCCACTCAGCTCCACATCCTCCCGTACTGCATTAGTCCATCTCTTCTCCAGCCCATGACGTGCCCATTTAGCCCCCTCTATGCAGCCAAACCGAAGCTGCTTGGGCATGTGGTGGCTGGGCATGCCGGATACATGACCCAGCCAACACTGATGGAAATGTGTCCAGATCTTTCAAGGATTTGTGAGCTCCTCACACAATCCAGCCTTGTTAAACCCAAGATGGATTGTAGGCATGCCAGCCTGAATGTTTTTAACCGGTACAGATGTTCCATTAGAGGGGTCCACGTTTCACAAGCATGGAGAAGGGAGGGCATGACTGTGGCCGAGAAGACCCGAAGCTTCGTGACAGACAAGGTAGCTTCCACACAGCATTGCACAGCCGATGAAAAGATAATGCCGCCCGACTGATTCAGAGTGAGACCTCTGCTATCAAACCGGAACTGGTCATAAGCACACTGCCCAGGGATGGAAAACTCTCCTCTCTCAGCACAACTGCTCCATCACCAATGCCCTCTTTACCCATCCACTAGATTAAACTAAGTTTACTTTATTACATGAGGTCAATCGAGTACTACAATTCAAAACACGAACACTTTATATGTCCTTTCCCAGCAAAATGTGGTATGCAATGCATAGAAGCAAGCACAAGCAAAACGATTACAAATTAACGCATCCTTCTTGTCATGATCAATGAGCAACGTGGAACGTCGCTGGGCTCTTCTAAGATTTTGTACACTTTAACTGGAACTTATGGTGACGTCATGACCGAGTGAGCAGCGCTCAAACGTACTCTCCCTGACCCCTACGCTGACATCAACCCAACATATTTTGCCCCACAGTCCTAGATGGGGGCTGCGATCGTTTTCTTCCCTCCGGCACGTCGAGGTCAGATTTGCGACCCCGGGCCTACCTTGTACAACTCAAGCCTGCGCCTGTGGCCTCCCGACCCCATACTGCACGTGCTCGAGAATCAGAATATTGATCGTGGAGGAACCCGATGAGCTATGAAGCTCTTTTTTTCCACAGATGTCCAGTATCACAGGTATCGAGTAATGGCGGATAGAGCCCCAGGCAAGATGCCCAAGGTCTCCTCCCCGCTGACCTGCGTCCCCCCCCCCCGGGACACTATATAGGGATGCTACAAACCGTACGTGACAAAGTAGAGCAAACTGTCACAATATACTGGTGACTGGAGAGCAAACTGAAAAATAACAACGGCTCTGCTCTGAATCCTCAACGAAAGATGTGGGTAGCCATTTTTATAATCAAAGTGGCTCATTACTTGGACATACGGTGGTATGTAAACAAATTAGGGACTGTAATGTGAAAAAGACATCATTTGTCCAGCTTTTTAAAGGAGGGAGAAATGCGAAAAATGTATTTCGGTGTTGGACGTATAAAATTATTTTCATCCATGCTGGGATGGTGAATTTCATTGTGCGCCTGTGTCCGATCAATTACCTATTCCAGAAATAGGCAATATGTTGGTTTATATGTGTGAATGACACCCTATGTGCATTATTAGAATGATTTTGTTGAATGGTTTGTACAACTGCCGTGATGCAGCAATGCACGCGGCCTCTGTACTAACCACTGACTGGCTTCACCACACAAATACACGACGATTATTTCGTGCGTTGTGTCACCATTTAGTCCATTATGGGCTGACTAAAACGCATCTCTGGACAGTAGTTTACAGCACTTGATTTCATATTCCAAGGTACACATTTAAGACGTCGCCCGCCTGCCCGCCTTTGTGTCAATAGTGGCGATGTTTACACATCGCACCAGATACTGATTTGAGGCTGGGTCTTCCTAGGAGAGACCCAGGACAGGTTCAGATAATCGTCACTGGTGTCTGTCGTAAACGGAAATCGAACTTTGGTCGCCGGGTACGTACAGTACATTATAAAAAAAAGATCAAATATGCTATACAGCACATCATTGTATTAACAAATATGATTTTATTAATTCCTGTTTTTTAGAACAGCATATAAATATATATATTTGCCAACCATAATGTAAAAATGTGATAAATATGCAATAGACAGTACTTAAAAACGGTAACGATTTCCAAAAATGTGTAACTTTTCAAAAGTGACAATTTATCAGTTAAAACAAGCAATCGCTGCTGTGCAGTCTGCCACATTTTATTTTGCCCTTTTTAATACTGTCTGTCTCAACCAATGTTTCATTTTATAGCAGAAAAACATGCAGTTTATGCCAGCTCTGCTTGGTTAATATGTAACGGGGCGGCATTCACCTCCATAACACATTGCACTCACAGTGCCCATAAAAAAAGTCCACAATCATCATTTAAACTCATTAGAACACAGCACCAAGTTGTGCATTCCATTCCAAAGTCTGCAACGAACATGTCGGCAATCACTCACAGGGTGTGCTTTGGGGGGGGGGACGATATTTGGCTGTACCAGCTGCAAAAGAACAATTATCTAATCTTGATTTGAACCTTTCGTGACTGCAGGAATCCATACTCGTTGGTTCTTTCGGTAAAGTCACGTAGGTATAAAATAAAATAAATCACGACGTTTCGGGGGCAACACAAGCGTCCGTCATCATGTGTTGTGCCCGAAACGTCGTGATTTATTTTATTTTATACGTACGTGACTTTACCGAAAGAACCAAAGAGTAACAATTCTCTACTATAAAACCTGGACTAGCAATAAAATCTGGAATGAAAACTGATCAAAACTAAGCAAGTCATATTTTACAAACAATATTAGTATACAGACTTTACTTTTTATTGTGCTTGAAATTAAAGAGTTGAATCTTTTTAGTTACAAATATAGTTCTGTAAAAACGTAATCTTTTCAAATGTAGCTAAACGTGCTTCTATTATTGATGACCCAATTCCATCACTCCCATTTCCCCAGTGCTGTACATATCTTCTTTCAAGATCCATCCCATCAGAAGTTATAACAAGTTCCGTATATTTTTTTCTAATTAGCATCATGCCAAATCATTGCTTGACCTACCATTGCATATAAATTTCGCAGTGTATTTAAGAACATACCTATTTTATAATTGAAAAGTAGTTGATCATTTGGTATTTTAAGAACAAAAGTCTATCACGAAGGAGCTACATTTAGTAGGCGTAGTCTGCAAAGGAGTTTCCCAGAAGGAAGAGATCTTGTATGTAATTCCAATTGAGTAATTTGAGAGTATTCTTTTTTACGTGGCAAATTTCAACCTTAACACGAGCACACAATGGCCCACTCGTTTCACATGACGTCGGGCGATATTTATTGTCCGCTGTGAAAGATACGGCGCACGTATTTTATGAATATATAACCGCAGTAATAACCATGGCGGCCTTCCGGATGCAAACCACGAACCTCTGCAACAAGAGGCGAAGTCTCACCGCCGGCCCATGTCATTCTGACCTGGTGACACTTCGTAAATACACAATGCCGTTGCAAACAATATAATTAATTGTTCTCGCATACGAGATGGAAAAAAACGGTTCTAGGAATAGATTAGGGCAGGGGTCGGCAACACGCGGCTCCGAAGCCGCATGCGGCTCTTTAAGGACTGGATTCGTGACCGTGATTTATTAAGGATCACCACCGTCTCGTATCCACATGCACTGCGGCTGTTAAAATATTGAGCGTTTTTTTTACCGAATTCTAATAAGAAATTGGCTCTTCTTTTTGATTTAAAGCTTTCGTGACTGCAGTGATTAATATTCTTGGTTCTTTCGGTAAAGCAGTCATCATCAGGTGATGATGATTGCTTGTGTTGCAGTCGAAACGTCGTGAGAATTTTATTGTTTTATATATATTCTATTATTTTATACTGGTAGGAACGAAGTTGTAAACTGAGTGTACCAGCCTGCAATAGATTAATGTGTCCGTCCGTCCCCTTTCAATACTTTAACGAAGTGAAATCTCGTGCTGTTGGGGTGTAAAAATAAAATTGCGCAAAATTCCAATGTTCCTACCAGCCCACCCTGCAGGGACCTGTTTGTTTCCCTTCAACGTGGCTTTACCGAAAGAACCAAGAATATATTTGGCCCTTCTTTGTTATTTTGCTTGCCGAGACCCCCTGGATTAGACGAGCCGTGGGAACGCTGAATTTGACGATTACAGTCTATTCTGCATTTGACTTTGGAGATGTTAACAAACAAAAAAAAATGCAACAACTTCTTGTCTTCCACAGTTGCGACGAGAAGTGCGTCGACAACCCAGGACATTTCATCCGTGCCGGACTCAACAAAGCTCGCCTCGTTTGCGTCTGAGCCCACCGACGGCGGCCTCTGCGAGTGCATCGTGTGCATGAGTCGCCCCGCGAACGCCGTCATCTACACCTGCGGACACCTGTGCATGTGCTGCAGCTGTGCCCTGGGCGTTAAGGCCTCCCAGTCGCCCAAGTGCCCCATGTGCAGGGCTCACATCAAGGACGTGATTCGTGTTTACACGTCGTAGCACCGCGAGCGTGCGGCGTGCGTGTCAATTGCTCGTGGGGCACTCGCCTTCGTGTGGCGTGCTGGCCCTTTGTAGGTGCTCGCCGAGAGCACTTGCCCCAACAGCATGTCAAGGTCTATAACGGGGGGGGGGGTTTGTATGTGTGTGGGGAGCGGTGGTGCAGCGGTCAGCGCTGCGCTGCGCTACGAACCTGTCCACCCGGGTTCGATTCCCGCTCACGGCCAACACCGGCGACGATCGTCTGAACCTGTCCCGGGCCTCCCCTAGGTCGACTCGGCCTCAAATGAGTAACCTGGAGCGGTGTGCAGTAAACATCGCCACTGGGGAGACAAAGGCGGCCGGGCGTGGTGGTGGCCACCCACCCCCCTTCGTGTGCCATTGCAGCCTTCATAGGTGCTGCTCGCTAACAGCACCTGTGACACAACAGTCTGTTAAGGCGATAAGGGGGGTCTTTGTGTGTGTAATCAGTGCTCGCGAACAACGATTGCCCTAACAGTATGTGAAAGCTGTTTTGGTTGTTTAGAATATTGGAAATGAAGATCTCAGTTTTGAAACCCCAAGGCATTTTAACTACAGTAAGACTGCCAGCTAGCAATTAGGCAATTTAATAATACTCGTTATCATGAACAATAAACTTTACCTATATATTTCAGAAAGAGGTTGCCCGTCTACTTGTTATTTAAAAGAACGCGGTGATTTAAAAAAATAGACATGTTGTATAGTTGAACACTCACTTGATAAGCATGTTGGTATGTTTTAAACATACATAGACAATTACCCCCGGGTCTTATGAATTCAAACATTTACTTTATTTCTTTATGCACAAGTCACACTGCTAACCCTCTAGCGAAGAAACTAAAGCTTTATTTTAAAACACACGACACATGTAGTCCTAAATAAAATCAGCGGTCACAGGGTATGTAAATTAACGAGGCTGTTACCATAAAAACCGTATTCTCTTTAAACTAAAATCATAACAGCAAAAGGGCTGCATTAAACTTCAATGTAAGCACATTATGACATTACGATATAATATGTCCTGAATTACCTTTTTTTACTCAGGATGTAAAATTAGTAGATAGTATTTGAATCTTCTTAGTAGTCTTATAAAGTAATAAGAGTACTGTACTTACATTTTTACACGAGGAAATTATCGGGAAGTTTAGGTTTTGATTTTGAAACATCATCTCGGGGATCTGATGAAACCTCGTTTTAATAATATGAAGTGTTGGGTCTAAACCATGTGGCACACGTATAGTTGAGCAGAATTTTGGGGACAATTAATGGGCAGATGCAGTGTGACCATTTCGATATATCGTACACTCAACTGAAATATAAATATGACTTATGTATGTCCATGAATTTGAAATGTAGTCAACAATAGGTATTTTTTCTCTCGAAAGCATGTTGTCATTTGATTGTATGGTATGCTGCACCTGCCGCATTCTGAACCTTTAAGCAATGCCCGGCACCGTTATTTTTGAAAGCTATACAAATACTGTGTATGCAACAATACGTGGAAAGGAAGTCATACTACTGTAATTTGTAAGCTTGTTTTGATGCTGCCATTATTTACGAATGTTTTTTACCAGGGGCGGAGCCAGGATTTTCAGCCCGGGGTGACATTCAACAAATTTTAATTTGAAGAATGAGTGAATGGGAAATCGGCTGTACCCCAGGCCATTGGTTGGCGACACACTCTGACAATGCAATTGCACGGCGGACCGAGTGTCGTACACTTATAACGCAGAATGTTTCAGATTTTTCGATTTTTTATTTTCTTTCGGGGGTGACAATTGTCTTCCCTGTCACCCCCCTGCCTCCGCCCCTGGTTTTTACTATATACACTTAAGATCACATCCATCCACTACGTTGCTGCTAAGTGTTATTCCAGTGCAAGTGTAAAGTATTGGAAGAATAAAGCGCTGGTATGTTTTTAATACTCAAACATTGAAATGTGTTGAGCAACACTAATACTGTATATTCATTGTACATGATTCCTGAGAGAGCACCGTTCAAGCCACATGAGAATAGTTTTTTTTAATAATACTTTAATGACAAATGGGGTATCGTAGAAACGTCACCGTATTTTGGACAATGAAATCGGTCGGTTTATATTCAATCTCCAAATAAACTAAAAAGTAAGTTTAAGTGAATTGGTATTGCATCTTTATGAACCATGGTACATGGCTTCCTTTATAGCAGACTTCCAATCCTGAGGTGTCTCATTCAATCATTCTAGTATGTTTATAAACTTGAAACGACATACAGAGAATTAGAAAGCCAGAGGGAAGGCATTTCCAACACCCATTCGATACAAATTTATACACGCTCCTGAAAAATAATTCATAATTATTGCTCTATTTAAAAAATAGAAAGCTTCATCGGCACGAGACACTTAATTGGCATAAGAAATGCTTGGTTTACAGTATTACCCCCCCCCTCTCTCCTCCATGGCAAAGAATGAAAACCGCGAACATAGGAACATTAGGCGTGAAGAGGAACTTGAGTTGTTCTAACTGCTGAGTGCACTGTAGGAAGAGAGGCAGTCGCGAACAAGTGTCAAAGCGAAAACACTCTGGAAGGTGCTGCTTATACATCAACAGGAGCAGCAGCAGCAGCAGCAGCACGTCCATCAAGAGAGACTTGGTGTTGGTGGTGTTGGTGTTGTGCGTGCGTGGATATCAATTTATTATGTCTGCACGACAGCCGAAAAACAAGAACGTTCAATTGTGGAAGCCCCAAGATGTGGTTGACTGGTTCCGACAGGTAAAGCCGTGTATTAAATTTATTGGCTTTAACGTGAAACAGTTGCTGAAGTTATGCCAACGTGCGTTTGTTTGTGACCCCTCTTGAAATAAGTTGCTATGCACAACAGATTTTAACGTTATGACCTCGTGTACTCGTAATACATGTGGAACACGTTTTCTGTATCTGTACGATATAACGGGAGAATGTGTTCCGCATTTAGCTTAACTGTACAGCGTAGGAAACTAATTGCGTTTAAATTGTGGTTATGTCGCGGGGTGTGATTGGTTAAATTGTGCGATTATAAAAATGTGCAGGCTGCTTGAATGTCGTGAATTTTAATGGGAGGTAAGCCGTCAACACCAGATGTGATATTAATGAGGGCATATGTTTGCAGAACAGTGGAGGGCTTTGAGTTAAATGTCTTCCGAGGATGGGAACATCGGCACATAATACAATGTTATTAGAATTTTTTGTATGTTTTTATATGCTTAAATATTTCCCTCCGGCATTCACCAATTGTCAATTATACTGCAATACTGTAAGTACCGATGTTTGCGTAATAACATAACTGCAGTGGAAATTCGTACACTGCCAAAAAATATATACAGCGTTACAAAAGGTCAACATGGCTATAGAGTTTATTTTTTCATGGAGCTGCTAATCGCAGGTTTTGGTTTAACATCTTGGGGGACCAGCATGGAACAAACGTGAATGCATAATTTCTTAACGTTTAAAGGATTAATGCTGGGAATATATACCTTAATGCGAGACAGCTATACGCACGTTATAGTATTGTGTCCCTACAGGCAGCACTGCTTGGCAGTTAAGCGGAAGTTTAAAGCGGAAGTTCCACGTGTGGTCGTGCCACACGCAAGCCACACGTGTGTGCATGTGACTTGATAACGACTTTAAAGCGCGTTTATTTCAGCAGGTCTGCCTCTTGCCAAACAATTTACGGTTCTGATCGTGACTGCCAAATGCGATGTGTGAACCCTCCTCCCCCTAAAATAAAAACAGTGGACAATTCAAATACTTCATCAGTCGAGTTTTCTTTTTGTTCAAGTCTTGACAGCAGGAACGCGTGAATTCTGTAAATAAGTCTTAGCAGCGATTGTAACGTGGCATTCAGAATAAGTGCTTCATTGAGGTCAGACCCAATTTAAAAACGTATATTTTAATGTATATACGTATTAGTGTTGATTTCAGAATGAATGCATAATTGTCATAAAGGGGACATGAAGCATAACCATATTCGAAAAATAAAATTATGAACTTATATGCAAATTAATAACGCAACGTTCACGAATTCAAATGTATGTTATACAGTACTATTACATGTAAATATTGATAACACTTTAACATGTATTCGCAAAATAGCGATTTCAATTTGCCATACATACATAATTATAATTCAGACTTTTTCTGTTTCTATTAAAAAAAAACTTAATTTCTTTAAAAATGTAAATTAAGAAAAAACAACAACGTGAGTTTTATCGCATGTCAGCAAATAAAACACTGTACTTTTGTGGGCGTATATATTTTCAAAATGTGACATTTTCTGCTGGTTTAATTGAAATTGTTTTTCGTGCCACAAGTCGTTATCACTCACACGATCGGACAATCTAAAATCATGCAACACTTAGCAATATTGACCACATTCGGTTATGCTGTAAGCATGCTGACCAAACACTTATCTAATGAGCAAACCTTAAAACCAGGTAACGCAACAACCCACTTACAATAAATGTTCCTCGTGCATGAAAAAAACGTAATGCATTCGCCGTGAATGTAATTAATCTCGACAAGAGATCGGTGCCACTACTTGAGCTTATCGGCAGAAGACAGGAGGAAAGTGGAAATACATGACGAAACGTGCAGTTGACACCCATGGGCTAGCTGCCCATGGATCGTGGTGGTGGTGGTGGTGATAATGATGTAATGAATTTCGCTTATATTAAATGTGTTGAGTACAAGTAATTGTTTAAATGTCATTCTTTTCTGTCCAGAACCAGTTGGAAGACTGTGCCTCTGTAGCTTGGAGGAACCAAATTGACGGGAAAGCTTTGCTGGTAAGGATCTATAGAATTATTACCGCAGAATATCATTTAATAACAAAAGGAAACAATATATTTAGGAAATAAACATTTTAGGAAACAATTCTGTGGTATTGTATTATTTATCATTCTGGACTTGTGCATAATAATATAGTAATTTTATTCAAATGAACAATTAATGAGGTTAAACAAATGGTTTCCAGCACAAATCATACAAGGATTGCACTGCTCAAGAGAAACATAAAACGGCTACAGGGATTTTTTTTAATGTTGTAGTTTATTTAATGAAATCAATATAAAGTAAACATTTAAAATTATTTATACTGCTAACCATACAATTAAGCTTTTTACTATCGTCTGGTTGGTGTTCAAGGCTGTTACAAATCTCTATCAACATCACAATACCATATAAGAGGTGTGATGTGATCGCACTACACAAGTCACTTTAGTTCCTCCTGTGTAGTTCACAAAACCAACCAGGCATTTGTATGTATGTACATTTAACTTCTTTTGCACCGTACGTAGCCAATCGTGCTCCTCGGAAGTGCGAGGGAAGGACAACAAACTAAACACAAAAAGCAGTTCTATGCTGATGCGTAGTAATGCAACATATTTTGCTTCACAGCCAAAAGGCCCATGAACGCATGAGCCCGGCTGCTCAGATAATTTTTCTCCGTGTACTTCTATTCTGTAGCTATTTTTCGAGTCACTTCCACTCTCATTTCTTATTCCACGTGACCCTCCAACACAGGGGTCGGCAACCTATGGCTCGCGAGCCAGATGTGGCTCTTTTGATGATTGCATCTGGCTCGCAAATGAATCTTAGCTGACATTTCTTAACATAAGTAATGAATTATTCCGCTGACATTGAAGTAAAACATTACAGAAATCACAGTCTTAAAAATAACGTTTAAAATATAAAACATTCTCATGCATTTTAATCCATCCATCCTTTTTCTACCGCTCCTGCTCCAATGCCTCGACAACTTTTGCACTGTACTGATGGCATCCCCATAGTTATTCTAATCGCATCTTCTTTGTATTCTTTCACGTGCTCGAACCACCGCGGTATCGCCGCCCCTAACCACTCCCGAATAACACATTCCTGCGGAGGGAGCTGGTAGGAACGTTGGGTTGCTCGGTCAATGGCCAGGGTCAACGGCGGCACCACGTGGTGTATTCCGCAAATATGCCCGACTGTGAGGGCGGGCACAAGCCGGCGTGAGTAGGTGAAACGTTGAGGTTTATAAGGGCACCACGGGGTGACCAGCCCCTCCCCACCCAGCCCCACCCCTCCCAGCCCTTCCCCACCCTCCCCTCTCCACCCAGCCCCACCCCTCCCATTTTTGGATGCACGACGCACGGACGGACACAATAATCCCCTGTGGGCTGGTGTAACCAGGAGGTTTCTACCAGTGTTACTAGCCCCTCCAGACTGCCCTGCCTTCTCACCCACCTGGCCTCAAGCTGCCCTTCTAAATCAGGCATAATAACCAAATCAGCAAACAAAAGCTGCCATAACATCACTTTTTTAGCTCCCTCAATACATCCAACACTATTATATGTACATAATATAATTTCACAGTGTATCAGGGATGTGTTGCCAATTTTTGGGAAGAACTAAAATCAGGCCTAAATAACAACATTCCAGGTGATCTGAAGCTTTTATCGGATTGATCCAAAAAGATGACATTACAGCAAATTATATCACGTGTATTACCTCACTTATTTTGTTAGTACGAGATGCGTTACGTGTTTATGTAATGTAAAATTAAGCTAAAACCTGAAATGTAGACATCGGAACTTGTGCCTAAAATTCCTAAAATCGGAAATGTTTAATCCAAAACTCGTCCTTATAGTCCATATACTGTACATACAATTTATTATTAATTAACTAATCAAAAGGAACTTGCAAAAATACCACAATACAGAACCCTCTTGAAAAATAAGCTTCATACTCATGAAGGCATTATGTGATAAATGTATTGATATAGTCTATCATGGCTGAAGTCCTTCCCGTACCTTGTTGGTCATGGGCATTATTTGACTGTACTTCACAATGCTGATCAGTGTGGGGTTGGTAAAGGAGACTGCCCAGATGAGGTTCAAACATCACCCACCACCGATACAACTCAATTATAAACTATTTTTTTTATTTTACCAGGTAAGGCCCACAGAGATATATAGCTTTTTTTTCAGAAGCTGGCCACAAATGATAGCTCAACTAAGTTGATTACCTTGTGAAAATGTATAGCAGCCAAATACTCTAAACACATTTTGATTCTAAATGTGGAGGGAAAAACCCGAGGAAAAGCCCACGCAACCATGGGGAGAGACATGCAAACTCCAAATATGCAGGCATCAAGGTCGGGATGAAACCCACGACCTCCTGTACACCAGGCGAGGTGGTTAACATCTCATAGCCACCGTGATGTTAACTGTGGCCCAGAATTTAACTTAGGCGAGGTGGTTAATTATACCGTTAACTGTGTACTGCTTCCAACAGTCGCGTCATTATGCATAATATACACCGTGTTATTTATTGTACGTATGCTGTACTGAATTGATAGCATAAGCAGTTTTTTATACGATGTCCGCCTGAATATTATAAATTCATTTTATAGTTTTTATTTCCCAAGTTTCCAAAATGATAACGGAAACATGCCGCAGCAGGAATGCAGAAATTGATAGATTTTTGTATAACCCTGTCAAAAACACACTGCAAGCTCATATCTATATATGGAAAAGGGGAACTTTCTTACAAATGAATGTTTTAGAGCTGGCCTGACTGCATACAATTGTGCTACAGTTTATAAACGTATGAGTTATAATGGTAAAATACATTTAAAATGTCCATCTGTGAGGGTCTATAAAGGTTAACCTGTACTTTTTTGATCTCAATAACAATGACGGCTAGCTAATCACTCCAGAATGTGTCGAGTGGGAAAGGCAAAAACTGGGTACAGTATTTCTCAGATGGTGGAAAACAAAGTTCTCCGGAGAACAGTGTTTGTGTAACAACCTTTCTGGTGAAGGAATTTCCAAACTGGAAGTGTACAGGCTAGGTTGTTCAGTTCTGTGAAATGTGTCTTCAATACAACAGTGCAGTTGAGTGGCGCAAGAAATTTAACCATGAACTACAGTTTAGGCAAAGGGCTGATGAGGAAGTCAAATCAGATGTCCTGAAATGGCTGCAGAGATGTCCACATGAATTCCATATATCTGATACGTGCATTGTCTTCGTACTGTCGCCTTTTAGCCTTCTCTGGTCTGACACTGGTGGTGAGACTAGGCCATAAAGAAGTCTGTCTCTGGTCTAGGCCAATCAGTTTCAAAGACAATATATTATTAGAGCAAGTTTATTTGCATATTTTGCCATAAGTACGTGTGGTTAATGCAGACTTGATTCCTTGCAAAAAGGAATCTATTTGGTTTTTGAACATCTTAAGACATATATTATATATTCTTGGTTCTTTCGGTAAAGTCACGTAGAAGGGAAACAATAAAATAAAAATATATAAAACATTAAAATTCTCACGACGTTTCGACTGCAACACAAGCAATCATCATCAGGTGGGAAAACCACAGCAAGAAATTTTTGAAAAAAGTGGCGGTTTAAAAAAAAAATTCTTGCTGTGGTTTTCACACCTGATGATGATTGCTTGTGTTGCAATCGAAACGTCGTGAGAATTTTAATGTTTTATATATTTTATTTTTATTTTATTGTTTCCTTCTACGTGGCTTTACCGAAAGAACCAAGAATATGAATCCCTGCAGTCACGAAAACTTTAAATCAAAATCTTAACACCTGTTTTATTGGCAGAAAGGATTAAAAAAAACTTCTTATGTTTTCCTGCTGACATTAAAGGTGTTACAACACTTTCATGGGACAAATGTACCCTGCAGCCTGGTAGTATCGTGGAAAATAGGGTAAGTTTCAGTTTAACACGTAGGCTTTCGCGACCAATATTATTCATGAGGGGTCTTTTTTTGTTAGATCGCGTAAATACAAATGTGTCGTTCAACCCGCCACCACCGGACACAGCCAATTAGTAAGGTTTGTCACGTAAACAAAACATGCCAATTAGTTACTAGTTCAGCACACCGGCACTTTAGGAGAGTAACCCCACAACATTTACAATTCGAGTACGACGTTTCGCCGGTAATATATTTTTTAAACCTCTATTATAGATTGGGTACCTCTCATTAACTTCCCTTTCAAATCTCCCGAGAATTAACAGTTCAGGTGAAATTTGAACAAGCTTCAAGATATAAAAACACACTTGTTTAGTTGAAATATTAAGTGTAAATTAGGACAAATTTAGAAGTCAAGAGGTTCCATTTAAACAATTATATGAAGCGTAATAAAATTACTGGCCAACACACTGTTCGTCAGTTTAACATGTAGGCTTTCGCGACCAATATTATTCATAATAAAGGTTTTTGGGTTAGATCGCGTTTATTTATAAATGTGTCGTAACCCTACACCACCCGACACGGCCAATCAGCAAAAAAAAAGTGTCACGTTGACAAAAAGACAATTCACTACTTTAGTGTTGTGGAGCCGCCTATTCGAAAATGGAGACTATTAGAAAATTGTGATCTAAAATGCTGACCCAAAATGAGTAAAATTAGCACCATCTAGTGGGGAATCAACGGTAATTGTATCCTTAAAAACTGACCGTAAAATAGTGAAACCTTGACCACTGGCTCATGACCATCAACAAAGATGAGCAGTGACCATCGCATACTCTATCATAGCAACACTCTAACTTCGACTAAATTTACGACTAATACCCCTTTTATTATTATTATTATTGCTGCAGTGCAGAATATTCTTATCTATAATTATATTGCTCACGCCAACGCTTCGTTTCCTTTGACCAATTTTAGCATCGTGTTGACTAATAGGTCATCCCAACAACGTGGGTAGGTAGCTTTGTTTGTGTCCAACTTTTCTGATGGGCAGTGCAGTGCGAGGCACCCACGTGTTGGCACCACGACCACACATAGCTTCGTCCTAAACAGTACCTCCGATTAGCACACTTGGCTGGGTACGGTGCGAAATAAAGTCAACGTGTGTGCATTCGACCGCGAAACAAAATACAATTTTAAAAAAATACTGTAGTACAGCAAAGCCATGTTCATAACAGAGCGTGAACTTGCATTTGACAAAACTGTGGAAAAATGTTATTCATCTTAATACAACGCAATGTACCACCCCAATGACAGCAAGTAGCTTAATCTTTGAATTTCATCACAATACAGCAATACAACAATGTATAAGCCAATACTCAAAAGTAATGCAAAATATTTTCAATGAATATTCTCACCATCATCATCATCATCTGTCCCTTTCATGAGCTCGTTAGCGATTATGGGGCTGACAACATGACTACCAGTTGCAATAGTCTCGTTCAGTCACAATTATTTATCTCTTGAAATATTTTATCCGTGCCCCTGGTTTTTCGTCTTCTCTCTTGCTCCTGTTTCTTTTCACTTTTGTGTTGCATCGCAGAGTGCGGGATCCTGCCTGGGTTAATTCTCTTAACGTGACCAAACCATCGCAGTCTTTCACTCCTAACCGTCCTCTTATATCGTCAATAAACATAGTCGTGTCCTAAACACAATAAAATTTAACATCGAATCATATTTCAGAAGCATATTTTTGATATTGAAAGAAACAAGATTGCTTTTTTCCTCCCATACACTTGCACATGTTGGAAATACTGTTCGTAAATAGTATGTATTTAATCGACCCATGTTGTTCCTGTGCTTTTGTAGGAGCTTCATCCAAGTGTCCTCCAAGTGTTCCCAGAAAGATCACGCATGTAAGCAGAGCCAACCCTGTCAGCACATTCTAAATCAAACCAGTAAACCAAGTCGCTCAGTGAGCCTCGTGTTATCTGCGAATTAACTCCATGTAATTTTATAAGTGTACACATTGGTATTTTTGTGCACACAAATCAATATGACTTAATTTTTTATAACAAATTTAAGCAATCAAGTTCCCTTTGTCACGTAATAGATATATTGTATACTCCATCTTCTCAATCCCATGAGTGAACCTTTCTGTTAATGCTAATAAAATCCTATACAATCAGTGTGGCTTTTTTGTACTGAATGTAAAATACCACTTTTTTTTCCTTCTACAGGAAGGTGCAAATTCTCAGTAAAACACTTGGTGAGCAACCAAGAATGCCTTGGAACAAGTAAGGAATCAACACACACACACGGGTAATTTTAATTCAATACTGTTCTTAATGTGCATCCTGATTTAAAGTTCGATTCCCTCAGCATTGCTATCTGCTCTTACAGATTTAGCAGTTCAAAATTGGTGCCAAATCCTCCAGACAAAGATTACACAGCACAGCCTCCAGGTAAGAACCATTACAGTGATTCCAGACATCGTGTGACTTTATATCCCATAGTGAGGGCTGCAAAAGGACTTCATGTGCACAATTCCTGTGCATCCACGTGATTGTAATATTTGACGTTGATAAATTGCTATAGGTCAAAACTTTCCCTCCCACCTGCCCCCTCCCCCCCACCCCACCACAGACTTTCTGTGCCACCACAAATCACATTTATTTTTCCAACCTGCCATGAGATTGTTCGCATTTGAATTTCAAGTGCTGTGTAACCTGCGATCCTTTAGGACAGCAATCCATTACGCAGCGTTTTAGTTTTCCGAGTAAACAGTGTGGAAAAAAAATCACACCACAAAAATCGTGATGGGGAACTGCATCATACTACAGTCGACCCTTCCACATTGCGGGGGTTAGGGGCGCAGGCCCCCCCCGCGAGTGAAGTGAGCACCTCCAGCCAGGGGGTTCGGGGGTTGGGGGGTGCGCTGTGAGCCTTTGCGCCTGCTGGCTTTCGCGTTCTTTTCGCAAGCTTTAACTTTTTACAAAATGTAACTTACAAAAAATAATTGTGCATATTTATGGTATTAAAAGAGAAAATACATTCATATTATACAGTACTGTACATATATTTTATGCATTTATGAGTCACTAAACCTTTTAGCGTGTCGGTCTGCTGGCCTTCACGTGTCATCTGCGGCTTTCGCAAAAACTCCCAAAAAACTCCCAAAAAATTCCTAATTAATTTCATGTGCCGACTCCACGATATATCGAAACCGCGATGGGCAAAGTCGCCATGCAGAAGGGTCGACTGTACTGTGCTTATAAAACACATGGAGATTTTCAAAATATTTTGTTGTGCAAATATTTCACCTCAAAATCCCCTTGAGATGGAACATTTCAATTGCAGGGGTGTCCACAGTGCCGTCGAGTGACACACTCAAAGCGACGTATATTACACGCATACAACAGTCACCACTGCCACGTAGATGTTTTAGGTGAATCTTTAGGAAAATTAAGAAATAATATGCACCATTTACTGTGTGAACACGGTTTAGTTTTGAGGGGATACACTGTATTTAATAAAGTTATATCAGTTTTGAGAATGTCACATTAAAACGTTGACATTGGTGACAGCAATTATCCGCTCAAAACATTGCACCTCATTTTTAGTCACCAGAAGATTATGAAAATTCGAATATATATAAAGGTTACAACATACACGATCCAATGGACCATTTGTGAAACGTTAATCTCATTAAAAATGTAACAAAAGTAGGATTCATTAGCGTGCATCAAAAATGTCCGTAAATTTAGGTACAAAGGGCCAATTCATTTTGACCGCTTAAATATAAATAGGAGTTCTCGTTATGTTTAACCTTTTTGCCACCACTATTTTGTGCTGATTTGTAAAGGGTGCAGTGGCGTCGTGACCTCCTCAATCAAAAAGGAGCTCTTATAACCGCCCCAATGAATCTTGGTCTCTCCTTCGATAGATATCTGCAGATTTAATTTTCACTGATGCAGACAAAACTGTTCACATTTCATTAATTAATGTATAGCTCATGACCTTGACGTTCATTATTGTAACATTTACGTTTAATTGGTCTAAACTTGAGCATTGGGATAATAAAATGTCATTGGCGAGTCAAAGCAGCATTGGGACTTGAAAGTAACATGAAGTCAGCAGCAATTTTGCGCGTGACATCTTCATGCAACAAAACGTTCCTCGGAAATTTGTAAAATTTCCGGCAAAATGTATGTAGAGTATTTCGAAAAATGATGAAAAGTTTTTTTTTGTTTTTACATCGACAGCCCAAACAGGAGATGTTTGGTCTGAAAATGAATTTGTAAGTGCTTCTGAATTTAATTCTGCATACACTTTTATGCACACAGTTTGTTAATGATGTCGTAATTTTGTCACGTTGATGTTTGTTAATAACGTCCGTGTTATTTATGAACGTGAATATATGCTAATGAGTAAAGACTAAATGATTGTCAATGAATCTACTACAACAATTACATGTGTTTGTTTACCTATCAATAATGTTTAATCTATACATATATACTATATATCGTGCCCTATACTGTCAGATGGTTACCTTTGCAGTACGTACTTCAGTTCATGGCTCGCTGACCTGCAAAGCAGCTTTGAGGACTGTATATACTCTAATGTACTCTCGTATATACTAAATTTCTATACTATTGTGATCTCTGCACCATGCACGGCTAAGCTATGCAGTATATTACATATGGCTTGCCTATGACATTCGCTCTGAGAATAGTAATTGTCGTTACCACTTGGTGTTTTATGCGTAACTGTTATAGAAAACCAAATTGTATTGTACTAAAACAGATGCGATGCCACCGGGATGTAATGCTTAGCACACTGGACTTGCAATCCAGAGGTCACCGGTTCGATTTGACCTCCCAACGCGGGAGATTAAAACAATGGGATAGTTTCTTAAATCCCACCACCTCTGTCCACCCAGCAGTATAAATGGGTTCACCACAGTTAGTCCATCGGCAGGTAGAGTGTGGTGTGGGGTGAAGTGTGGGTACACCCACGTCTTCATATACATCTAGCCAAAGTGGAGCTGACACTTGTGCAGGAATTTTTGCCAGCAATTGCAAGGGCTGCACTTTTACCTTTACCTTGCCAAAAGATGGAGTGTCTCGGATATTATCACTCAGAGGCTTTGTATAAAACACAATGTATCGTACATATATATAATTCACAAGTGTCCGTCCGTCACACTCTCTATCTCCCAAGCGGTACTTCGGAGGAGAAGATAACCAAAAATATATCCCTTGCCAAGAACATTCCCGCAAAATTGTTAGATTTGTGAATTTCCAACATTTGGAACCCAAATTTCCGACAAAACACCTCTCAACATCCGATCGGCCGACATTTGTAAATTATTATGTCAATCGAATGTGCCTATCACTGCATTGCACAACCTGGGCACAATGATTGCTGGCTGGCAGTTATGTTTGCAATTAGGCCAACGAATGCCATTCAGAAACAAATAGCAACTTCTAAATGTAATATGCCGTTGTGAAATGCATTTGGTTGCAATCACGGACGTGTCAAAGGAAGATCAATGGTCATCAAGCAGTATTTACCTCCAATATTGTCTATCCGGAAGTTTTGTAAAAATTACTTTCAAAGCATACACGTATACATGTAGACACTAATAATTAAAATAAATTGCAAGGGGTTCATGCAATGTAACTGGGTAGGTAGTTCTTTTGTAGTTCTTCAGGTTACTAACCATACGAAATCCATATCGCTTGCATTTCCATCTAAGTTATATAATTGCGCGGGCAGTACTGGTATAAAATAATTCTCAATGCTTAGACATCATGACTACAGTATACTCCATCTATGTGCAAACACCCTCGTGACTATACGCGGTATATTTTGACACTTGGGACTGTTTAAACAACAACCGAGAATGTCATGCAGTGCAAGGCGTTAGGATATTATTCTGCCCTTCAGTTATGAAACATGTGCGATATTGAGCCACAGGCAGCATTTTACAGATTGCACATTAAAAAAAAAACACATTAAAAAATGTGCAAATCCTTACCTCTGCTGTTTGACCTGCGGGCTACCATCTCGTAAATGAAACGTGGTGCTAAGCAGGCCAGGCACTGTGCGTCGTTTTTATGGTGCTCAAATCTCAGAGCAATCATTTATATCCTGCATTGCAGGACACTGAAGATGATGACTATGAAGAACCTGACGCAGACCCAAATATACCTCCGGTGACTACAACCTTTTACTAAATGTTCAAATGTGTACTCGACGCACACACATACACAATAAGAACACACGTATAAGCTCTAACAGAGTGTTGGGGAAAGTGCTGTTAACGAGGAACTACTTGGCCCGAAATCGTGCATGATAGGGTGGTGTGGCTCACACCAAACCATCGTCTTCCTAGTGCTGATGTTTATCCACTGCAACAGGTACTCTATCAAAGCTGAGTTGACCTTCGGGAGGCCCACACACATTTAAATACACTAACAGTTGATAACGTATCTTGCATGGACTGACTTTGGACCGGGATCAGACATCAATTTCCACATATGAGCCATGAACGGGAATCAAACTTAGGTCACTGGTTTCACAGCACAGTATAACCATTGTGCCATACTCTCCACAAAGACACTCACAGACAGGCACTCACATACACAAATACAAAGATCCCCGTATAGCCTAACAGACTGTTGGGGCAAGTGCTTTTAGCAAGTACCTTCGAAGGTAGCTTGGTTTGCAGGAGGTGGGTTCGACCCCGACCCTGACGCCTGTATATTTGGAGTATTGCATGCTCTCCCCGTGGTCACGTGGAATTTTCTGCAGGTCCTCCGCATTTATAAACATGCATATTTGGCTGCAATAAAAAAAAATCCACATAAGCCACTAAGTTGAGCTATCATATGTGGCCAGGTCGCTTCTGAAAGACAGCCATATAGCTCAGTGGGCCTTACTTGGTAAAAAAAAATATATTATATTTTTAGGTATTCTTTGGGTCTTTCGGTAAAGTCACGTAGATAAGGTCAAAGAAAATAACCAAAAACTACGACGTTTGGATCGCAATGCAAGTGGTCGTAATCAGGCTGATGATGACCGTTTGCTTAGCGATCGAAACGTCGTAGTTTTTGGTTATTTTTTGTTATTTTCCTTGAACCTCTCTACGTGACTTTACCAAAAGACCCAAAGAATATGAATTCCTGCAGTCACGAAAGCTTTAAGTCAAGATGTATATTTTTAAGCTATGCCATAAGTAATATTGCAGTTCAAAATGCCATCTGACAAAATTAATACAATTTTACGAAAAATTCCATTCCACAGGAACAGCTGACATTTCAAATTCAGGATATTGTTTTGTTTATGAGTTAAAACATAAAACAATATTGTAATGTTAAATAAAGAGGAGCGCGGGTCGCAGTGCTTTTGGAAAGGTGAACTTCGTAATGAAAATTAACATAGCAATGTGCTTACAAAAGAACGTTTTTATTCACCACCTGTTATGATTTGTGGTTCCGAAACGTGATCGTTAACATTAAATACAGAGTAAAAACGAAAAAGTGCACAAAAGAGCAATGGAGAGATCCATGCTTGGAATTTACGAGAGACACGAAGAGGAAGAAATTGGTGAGAGAACGTAGGCATGTAAGTTACATTATGCAAACTGTATAAAAAAGTACAGAAAGTGGATTTGGACAGGTCGCACCATGAGGCCGACAGTCAATCATAGCTAAGGGGAGTGGCAACCCAAGAATGGAACACGTCCAAGAAGATGTCTGCTAAGGAGATGGAGCGATGACATCGGGTCGTATGCAGGTGCTAGGTGAATTACAGAGTTAAACCGCAGGATTGTGAGAGATGGCAGATTGAGGATCCTTTCATCCAGTAGTGGATTAATCATGGCTGATGACGGGTAAATAAATATCAGAATCTAATGGCACCATTGTTTTGTAATCACTGTCCTTAAGCAATTCACGGTTCAGCATTTTTCAAGGAGCCATGTTTTGATCGAAAATGACGACGAAACGGATTAACTGTAACAAAGGGAAGCTGCCCAATTTTGTGTTAGCATCACCACTGCCCAGGGGCGTGAATCTCCTGGCGTAGTGCGTGTGTGTGAGCGGTGGTGTAGCGGTTAGCGCGCTGGGTTTGATTCCCGCTCACGGCCAAACGCCAGTGACGATTATTTAAACCGGTCCTGGGCCTTCTCCGAGGTCGACTCCACCTCAAATGAGTACCTGGGTGTGGTGTATAGTAAACGTCGCCACTGGGGAGTGGTGTTGGCCACCCACTCCCTCGCGTGCCACAGCGCCGGTCTTCAAAGGTGCCACTCACTAACAGCACCGTGTCCCCAACAGTCTGCTCAGGCGACACGGGTGTGTCCTTGTCCGGAGCCCTCGCAGCCAAGCAGCGAGGATGACAGCTACGAGGAGCCCGATGTAGAAGGACCCGATTACGATGATCCGTCGAAGCTGGAGGATGACTACGAGCAGACCCCGTGCGAGAAACAGAAGTATCCCCCCATCGTGGCAACATCCATCGGCGGCGGCGGCGACGACGACGATAACAAAGACTACATCGGTAACGGCAACTTCGTGGCACCACGCCATTATTACCAACGCTGAGCTTTCGCTCACAAGATTAACGCAAAGGCGAAAGAGGTTTGCATGCCTCAACCTAGAGCTTTGGACGTCCCGTATAAAATAAAAGCTCGAGAAAGTTTTGCAGTATCGAAATGTGCAGTATCGAAATGAAAAAAGGTTTAAATGTCTCTCTGCTAAAAAAAAATACATCAGGGCTGTGACCGTAAGCCAGTTGTGGAATTTCCACATTGCTGTGGTGAGGGGTTGCTTGTGTTTACATTGACAAACTGTTAGCTCTCTGCAACATGGTACTCATTTTATCGATCCTAAATGAATGATGGGGCCGAGTCAATACCAAACCAGGATTTTAACACGCAATCTTCAAAATGTAAGCCAAGCATTGCTACCCAGCTGGATAATGTGTGCAGCATTAGCAGTCCCTGATTTAACCAAAATGAGATATCGCTGAGGCAACATATGCAATTATATACTGTGTAACAAAACAAAAAAATGTTCCTGGATCGTGTTATTTTCTAATTGCTTATACCTCAAAAGTAGATTGCTTTTCTGTCCTGGTCACAAAAGCAAAGTTTGTGTGGAATAATAGCCATTTTCTGTACTTTTGAGGCATAAGCAATGAGAAAATAACACTTACTACCCAGGAACAAAATTCGTGTTACATAGTGAATTATTAGAGGAGCGATCTACTACTGTATTAAAAAGTTGAATCACAGTATTTCGTAACAAAGAAAAAACTATAGATGTGGTAAGCTTTTTTGAATAATGCACTCCGAAATAATACTGTAAAGCAATTTAATGGAATGTATCTGTCCACAAATTAGTCACATAATCTTGATTTTATTCATAAGAATTTGGATGTTTTTACAGTTCCGTTTTTTGAGTGTTCTGCACCTGGAATGAAACTATTACATGTGTAGTATCAGTGAGATGGAGGCAAGATTTGTAGGAGGCACCTTCTTTATTAAACAACTTCCACCGTCTCGTCCTCACACTCTCCACAGTTTCTTAGTCGAGCCTGTACACAACACTAACCGTCAAATACTGACGGCGCCGACTGAGATGTCCAACAACTATCTAGCAGCGCAATATCTTAGTGAAGACGTCAGCGACCACGGCGACGAGACGACAGCAACGACGAGAAGAGTCCACTCCCAGAACCGGCAGCCTCGAGCTCCCACTCTCGGCTCCTTTTATGCTCCCAGCGTGGCCCTGGCTCCGCCCTGACCGCGCCTCCCTTTTCGAACCCGCTAGCAGGTTCCAGGGGCCTCCAGATGGGGTCCTCCATGACCCTTGCCCTAGTTCCTCCGCTCTGCCAATACACCCGTGCTCACGCTCACCGGCGTGTGCACTGTCTGTCAACCATAGTTGCCGCCGTTGTCCACCAGCCGGCACTATTACACTACACATGCATAAAACCTACGCACAGATGGGTTCACACTCACTTGCAGTGCTGCTATCTCATGGCCACGTTGCAGCCCAATGGTTTAGAGAAAGATATATGAGGAACCTACATCCCATGCTCATGTGAGGACATCCACATATAAATGGCCTGCAAACGTTATTTAGACCATTTGACTGCTTTAAATTTCCACATGATAAGCCACTTCGTTGAGCTATCATTTTTTGGCCAAGTCGTTTCTGAAAAAGAGTTATATAGCTCAGTGGGCCTTACCTGGTAAAATTTAATAACATCTTCAGTTTACTTATAGATGTTGAACATAACTGAAAGTATATGAGCTACACTCCATGGGTACAAAAGGGCCAATATTTTTGACATGGCAACAAATCTTTGTTATTACTGTGATCATAGCATAACCGGTCACCTGTTGTTTTTCAAGCAGTTCAGAGTTGCGTCAATGCAAAGTCAATGCGAGCCTGATAAAAGTTTAGTGTTAATTAAAGTAAGGTGTGATTACACCCTAAAGGTACAGTATTTGAAAGTCCTATTCAGCCATCAATAAGACACATGTTCCTCAACCCTGCTTTAGGAGTATTGTACTGTATCACAAATGTATTTATGTAGAACTTCTTTCACACCGTACGTAGCCAACCGTGCAAAAATGTAACACAGTTCATCAATCCTTTCCGCAGAGCACTGGATTACAGGCATGTCGTACCACGATTGCAGACTAACATATCAGTAATGCACATAAGCTAAACTTCCATAAGACACCAAACACACAGTGCACACACAGCACACCACACACATGTTCATACCAACGAAGCAAGAACAATACAAAGCCATTAGACTGATGCAGTCATTAAGAAATCATCAAGAAATCCATAAATCACCCGGTAACTAATACCAACAACACTTTATTAAACGCAGTTGTGTGCAAGGAGTCATAAATCAGGACGTGCTAAATTATAAATATATATCGCACATGCATCATGTATTCAAGCGGCTTTCTGAGCCCTGAGTCAAAGTTAAACGACGCGAGCAGATTTTCATGAATTCACTCTCGGCATTTTACAAGCGGCAGTGCCAAGGGAAGTTAATGGGGATTTGTCAGTCCGAGACTCCAGCTTAATAGCCTTCATTTCTATTTAGTGCATATCGGAGCACATGTAACGACCACAGCAGTAAGCAAAGAGGATACATGATGGAATGGAAGGCTACTCACTAAATGCATATTTCTGCCTGTACTGTAGTGTCATGCCTCGTGGACACATGACATTGTCTTGATAAATTCCTAATTAATATATTTTTCTGAATGTGAATGTTTGGGTTCATTCATGAATAGATTCATGTCCTGCACACACTTTATATGTCTTCTAAAATTGTTTCCCACTGCAGTAAGGTTTCCCCGAGATGCGATTTTAATTGAAACGGCACTGTCACTTATCCTGTCATGTGTGCCAAAGCTGTGTGCACCACTTTGAAATTTGTCACGAGTTTAACATTTTACTTAACAATGTAATTGTGCTGCATTGCATCGCTAGGGGGAAAGGCACCTCAGTGTGTATAAATCAAGTTAACAATATTAATTATGATGTAGTTCTTCTGCATTGCTTGTGCGGTACAGATGTTTACACAAAAACGGCTCTCAGTAGAATGCTGTACAATGCAGACTCTCAGCTGATAGCCACTGCCCTCTGCTGCACAACAGAGGCAGCAATGCAATCCAAACGATTGCAAGGTAACACACGCTTAGAATTATACTTTAATCTAAGTGGATGTCAAGAAGCAATTTGCAAGGAATTGATGAAAGTGCAATAACACTATTGCACTTTCATCAATTTCATCAATGCCATCTGGCATGCCAAGCACGATCGTGTTATTGCACGTAAACACAGACAGTAAACACTCAACTTTTTCAAATAGCAGCAAAGGAAGTGGACAATATATCGGTGACAATATTTAATGTAAAGCTGTATGGCCTAGCCCCATGCATTTTCTTCGTCCGGAGCCAGGAATGTGTTGTGCACCCGTGTTGAACTCATAATGGGCTTTATTACTTTTAACAGAATTCACGACCAACAATGAATGGGCAAATGCGCTGTACAAGATGCCATCCAGAATGTTCTCAAATTGGGTCGTCATTATTTGCACCTCGAAGGTGGAGATTTCGACAAGGGTTTAGATTTAATTGCGATTTGCATTTATATTGTCTCCATATATATAAAAGGCAAAGTTGTGAATATGTGTGTCTGTTCAAAATGTGAGCTGTGACGTCAAATCTGTCACGTGACCCGCGCATGTGGAAGCGTAACGCATTGTAGTGTAGTGGTTAGCACGCTGTGTGTGTAATCTGTGTGTGTGTGGAAGCGTAACGCATTGTAGTGTAGTGGTTAGCACGCTGTGTGTGTAATCTGTGTGTGTGTGGAAGCGTAACGCATTGTAGTGTAGTGGTGAGCGCGCTGTGTATGTGTTTGTGTGTGTCTGTCTGTGTGTGTCTGTGTGTGTATGTCTGTATGGAAGCGTAACGCATTGTAGTGTAGTGGTTAGTGCGCCGCGCTACGAACCCGGCGACCCGAGTTCGATTCCCGCTCACGGCTACCACCGGTGACGATTATTTCAACCGGTCCTGGGCATCCCCTAGGTCGACTCAGCCTCAAACGAGTAACTGCTGTGGTGTGTGAACATCGCCACTGGGGAGACAAAGGCGGCCGGGCGTGGTGAATCCAAGTCCCGGGCGAAGCCGGGTAGTAAAGCTAGTATTGTATATAGCGCTTAAATGCACCACAAGCAAGCTCATACGATACATTACGCAAGGATAAACACCAATACAAATATAACATACTTGAGAAAATCCCCAAGGTGGACCCCGTCTCATTAAAGGTCTACTGTATAAACAGAAATTATTACAAACGCTATTTGTATAGTAACTGAAGCAAGGCGCATCAGAGCTGAAAAAAAATGCATAACTGCGTGTGTGTGTGTGGCGTCTGTTTCCCCAGATAAAGACTCCATATCGATTAATAGCAGCAAAAGCGCCTCTTTGGAACGTCGTAGCAATGACGGGGAAGATCAAGTAAGGATGCAAATGAGACAAACACAACTTGCACAACCACAGCACCGGTCTGTACACAGCTCATTTAACTTCATAATAGTGATGTATAGTATGTCTCTAATCTCCAATTATGATGGACATAGCAAACATGTGCATAATCTATCATCAGGCTAAGCCTTCAACCACAGTGGCAGCTGCTGTTTTTGCTCATTCAACTATAAAGAGCAACTGCACGGTTTCCGAACGCTCTTCCCCTGTAAATGTTTTTTTTATATTAAGAAAGCAGAACGCATTTACATTGTGTATTTTTTTTATATATACAGTGTTGTACAAAACTAGGGTGTATGTGTTTATATGTGGGAGTGGTGAGTAGGGAACTGTTGCGATGTACAAACATTGCCACTGGGGAGACAAAGGCGGCCCTTCATAGGTGCCCTCTAACAGAACTTGCATCTATGTCTTAATATTCGTGAAACTCTTCCAATGTATGGTAGAATATTTATCAACCAATCCAAGATTCATGTAAGACGGGTACATATTTAATTTAATTTTAACCTGAATTGTTTAAACCATTCTGATTAATAATAGATGTTTCGCTTTGGCCTGAAAATGAATCATGAATCATACTATTGGCTGCATAATCCTATGTATTAAATTAATTGTGGTGTTGCAAAAAGTCTGATGCAGTAGTTTGTCTAATCACTCCACATATCTTGCAATAGATCAATTAATTAGACTATGGCCTTCTAGCTTGGACAAGCAATTAATATTAATATTTAGGCTATTCCATTATTATACAAAAGGGCAATGTTCCATTTGCCAATACCGGATTGTAACGTGCCCCAAAAGTTCGTCGCGGGGTTAGCTGCGTACATGACCTACGCAACCATTTGCAAAACGATGCATTTTTCAAAGCTCCGCTGTAATGTACATTTCTGCTTGCCACTTTAATTTTTAGAGTTACAGTAACTTGGTCTGCGAGTGTTTTGCAAGACGAGCAAAATTTGTTTAATTAATATTAATTTGATAAACGAGCGAGGTCTTGCAATACGAGTGGTGTACATATACGCTTTGTCTGCCGAGCGTCACGTGATCACAACTGATATACGAGTGCTTTGGATTACCAACACGTTTCCGGAACGAATTATGCTCGCAACCCAAGGTTTTACTATATATCTTTCCTTGTTCTTTTCCTACTCGTTATCTGAGACTTCTGTTCAGAGTATATTTTCCATCTTTAGCGTTTTATGCGTTGGTAAACAAATACTTGTCGATTAAACATTATAACATTATTTAACTACATAGCGATCCACATTAACTTATTTGGAAAACAACGTAGAATAGCACCAGAATTATAAAATATCAAAACAATGTTCAACAGTGAGGTTAACATTTTTATACAAAATTCACACTTTCACAGAAAAGCCCCGTATTATAATCGCTGTGCCTATTCCTGCCCTGAAGAAGTTAAGTCATCTGAAACTTGACTCACACATGTAATAAATGGAGTCGCACATTAACATTATATATGCTGTCAGATTAACTTTGCATTGACAATTAATTTTGACATGTGTTGCAGGAGGACTACATAGTTGCTGTTGAGAATGTGCCAAACGAAGGTTGTAAGTTTGACTTTTACTCTCAATTTGCAAAAAATATGCACATATACAGTACATGCAACCAACTAACCATGAATAGTACCAAGTCTCATTGGATCTCAGAAGCTAAGCAGTATTGAGTCCGGTTAGAACTTGGACGGGAGAGTATCTGGGAATAACAGGCGGGCCAATGCATATCACGGAGATGAAGGAAGGCATTTATACTGGTGAAGTAAGATGCAACTGGAATCACTTCATACATGGGGAACAGTCAGTCATGGGCAGAGTAGAAGAGGAAGGTCTTGACCCCTGACTTGAACAGGGGGCAGGGAGTCAACAGCACGGACGATCACCATGGGCAGGGCATTCCAGAGTGACCTCCCAACGAGTGCAAGTTGGTTAACGGTTTTGCCGGAAGGCCTTGGTTGCTGGTGCGGTGCAGACAGCGCACGAAGTGGGAGTAAAGTAAGATGAGAGAGGACGAGGTTGGCAGGGGAAAAGTTAACAGATGATCTCAAAGATGGCGAGGGTGATCTCGTAGTTTACTTGAGACCGGATTTAGATGCAAGTGGGAGGATCCGAGGACTGGAGTGATGTGGGTTTTGCTTAGTTTGGAGGTGAGGGATGTGGGGAGGACGTAGAGGATGGAGTTGCAGTAAAGGCGAGAATGGATACAATACATGGATGAGGGTCTCGGCGGCAGATGGTGAAATTATATGGTGGATGTGGGAGATGTTGCAAGGTGGAGTTAGGGTGTGCTACAGGATCGAGAGATGTGGGAGGGGAATGAGATTTCTGGCTCAATCGTGACTCCAAGGTTGTGCCAGTTTTTGATGTTGGAGGTGAAGAAGTGTACACTTAAAAGTGGAGTTTTTGCTGAGAGTTATTTTTTTCAGGATAACAAGGAATAAATCTGTGGCAATGTTTATCTGGAGAAACTTTGGACCAGCCCATAATCAGATAAGATGAAGGCAGGATTCGTGAGTGGATAGTAAGCTTATGTAAGCTTCTGCTGCTGCAAGGAGATGGCAATACAGTTACAGATTCTTCAAACCATCTGTGTGGATGTTTTAGTATATATGTGGGTTATCTCTGGGTACTCCGTTTCCTTCCACAGGCCAAACGCGCATTAGTGAAATTAGCCCAACCTAATGCAGGATCCTCCTGAAAAAGTCTTCATAAATAGTGGTGCTTTTTCCGGGTATATAAAATGAGCTATGCATTGGGCACATTTAACATGGGTTTAGGCATCGTGAGCATGTAAAATAAAGCAGCAGTGCATCTTTCACAATTGGTTTGGTAGGATTGAGATTTTGGAGGAAATTAATTTGTATACATCAGCATGTGGGATATTCCCCACAACATTTACACATTCTAGCAGATCTATGAAATGTTATGCTTACAAAGCGTAAGCAATCAATAAAATGTGAAGGCGCAGCCCTGCAATTTCTCGCTCATGCCACTGGTGGTGGAAGGGCCTCCACTCGAGGGAGCTCAGAGGGCCCCTCTAGAGGGTGTTCTAGCCTCCTCTTCCACGCTGGCTAAACGTCTTGGACGAGACGGTAGGGAACACCTTCACTTTATCCTAATGAATATTATACAAAAAATGTATAACATTAGGGCACTTACTGTGATATAACAAATTCTATTATGTTTTAATGGTGTGCCTTGCTTTCAAACATGAATTATTTTCGTTGAATGTTATATGTTCCAGTTCTTTCAAGTGACCATGTGTTCAACCACTAACATAAAGACTCTTCTCCAGGTTTTCTCAAAGGCGAGCCTTCACTGTCAATGAGGCCAGAAACCCGACCCAAGTCACACGAAAAGCCCACAAACCAATATCCATATCCGCTGCCACCCAAGCCTGTACCTGATCGGCCGCCTACCCTCCACAAGCCGTTCCTCCCTTCCACACCCAAACCTGGTTCAGACAACTCGCAGGCTTTCCTCAAGACCCGTTCCTTGGAAAAATCTATCCAACACAGCAGCAGCGCAACGAATCCCAATCACACTTTGCCCAGTAGCTTCAAAGTGAGCTCCCCGACTCATCCAAAACTCTCTTCCGCCAGACCTCATCTTCTGCACCTCAACGCGAACATTTCAGCAGTCGTCCCTCGACCCAAACCAACTCCCAACATGATCTCTGCACCACACATGACAGCTAGCCACCTGGGGGGCGCTCCCAAGTGCTCCCCAAAGCCAACTTTCAACGCAGACGCTCCGCCGTCGCAGGCCATCCCAGGCGGGAGTGGTCCTCCCCCTCCCTTCGGACGCAAGGTTAACAATGGCCACGGCGGCTTTCCGTTACCCATCCCTGTCCCCGAGAAACCGCTCAAACCGAAGGGTTACCTGACCACGGGGCATGCCACCATGCATGCGCCACCACCCGTCCAGGCTGGCCACAGGAGCCAGCAGCGTAAGGTCTCGCACGTGTTCCCGCCGCGGCTCCAGCAGACGCCTCACCAAGAGGGCGCCTGCGTGGACTCAGAGTCGGGTGCGTGACCATTGTTACATCTGGGTTCTTCGTGGAGTTGCCACCTCCGATCGATGTACAAGAAGTGCACACGTGTTATGGGAAGAAGAATATCTCGCAATGCATAGAGGGAGGGAATATAACTGCATTTGAGTGCATTGTCTTGAGTAGTGTAATCGCAGTATTATGCAACTGATAATGGATTTACATATTTCGGAGTACAACTACCTCAAAAAAGGTCAGCATTGGGAAAACCAGGGCAGGTGGCAACCCTACTTTTTCTATTGAGGGTGAGCTGATGTTTGCTTTGGCTTGGCACAAGCGTCGCGGTAACGTCACCGCCACTTAGTGGCGAATGGCGGTTGTTGTTGTGATGGTTGTTGTTGCTTTGCAAGTGGAGCCAATGACCAAATGAGAGGAGTAAAAGGTTTCACACAGCAGGATTAAAATAATCCGTGTTTTTCTTACAGACACTGGTGATTATGAGATCCCCAATGAAGAAGAGGTAGGTAATACATTTAAAAAGTACCTTGTCCACCTTTCTGTAGAAATTTCCTTTTAACGGTATGAGAATATGTATTATTACATGAAAATGTTAGTCGTGATGCACACAATCAGAGGGCCTATCTTTTAAAGACATTTGCCTGTTTCAAAATATAAAAACACAATATGTGAATCACAATGTTTATAATTATGCATAAAATGGACCATGTTGGAGAGGTACATTGCATTGGCTAGATGTTAATATTTTAAAAGCCATAAAATGTGCCTTATGCTTATAAATACATAACTTTTTATTTTTACCACAGAAGGAGACTCCACAAAAGATCAACGATCACATGAACAGGTAAGTGGGACGGGAAGGTAAGCTGCCATCTTATTTGGGCGTGCGTAGCTCAGGAAAGCAAGTAGAAAAGAATACGGCTGCTGTGGTGTTCGCAGTTGTGTCTTTCGGGTTGTACCGCGTGTTGTTCAATCACTGTGTTGAATGACACGCTGTACAAGCCAAAAACACATTGGGTAGCGAGGCAGACACGTTAACTATCTCACCTGGTATACAGGAGCTCGTGGGTTCCGATCCCGACCCTGACTGCCTGGATATTCGGAGTTTGCGTGTTCTCCCCGTGGTGTTGTGGGTTTTCTCCGGGTCCTCTGGTTTTTACCTCCACATGTAGAAAGATGCGTTTAGAGTATTTGGCTGCTCTCAATTTCCACGTGATAGGCCACTTCGTTGAGCTTTCATTTGTGGCCAAGTCGCTTCTGAAAAAGAGATACATAGCTCAGTGGGCCTTACCTGGTCAAATAAAAATAAAAGTTTTAAGAAGCTGCTGACCTTTGGATGGAGGTGCACCTAATGGATGCAAGAGAGTTCTGAATAGAATGCACCAGGAAAGCATTATAGGTTTAACCAGGAGGAACAGGTTTGCGATAAGTGGGACGCGTGTGCACAGTGGAGATGGGCGGGTCATCCGGACAGGTATTGGAGTGGCACCCTGCGACCTAAAGCCCAGGTGAGATACTGGAAGTCCAGAGGGAATGTCAACTTTGCAACGGCTACGAAGTCCAAGAGAAGAGAGTAATGAGGATATCAGCAGCATTAATTATGATGACCTCGTGACCTTGATCTTGACATTCCAGCTTAGTTGCATTAAGATAAATCTATTCAATTTCTACACTAAACCCATCACGTGTGCAGTCCAAACAATTGTACACACTTCAGGTTGTAAGAGTACGAATTCGAGAAAAGTGAATTCCGACCGTGGCTGGAAAAACATTTTTTTGAACGAGGGACTAATTATAATATTGGTCACACTTGTTATTTGTATACAAACATATAACACAACACCGAAACATGACAAATTATTCAAACAATTATTAGTAAATTATGGGTAAACATGACATTTAAGTAATGTGATTCAAATAGGCCTACTCAGCCGATAATTCCTCCATTGTCAATAAAATAGGTACAATTTTGTGGGACATAAACAGTGATTGTCCTGTGGTTAGACTGGTGCCTACGATGGGAATGTGGAACTTCCATCACAGCATACAATGGTGTCACTATGCATGAGTTGTTTTTTTTTGTGTTCGTTTAGTATACACCCGAGTCTATACAACGTTATTTGTTGTCTTGGAAACCCTTTTGTGAACCGAGTTCATGTGTGCCACCTCCTATGCACAGTGCTTTAGTCAAGTGTGCTTCTTAATTCCTTTGACGTTTCGCGACTTGTCTCATATACTTGTAACGAGTCGCAACATCAATACGCGATCATTGTCTCTATGAGTACCGTACTATGAAGCTCACTCATGGTCTGCTCCTCGTCCCCTGTCTTGGTGGCAAGGTATCCACACCCAACCCCACCCCCACCATCCAGGCCTGCCCCCCTAGGGCCCCCACCTGTGGACAGGGTGTCAAAACCAAACACTGCCGGCCGTTCTCTCATCATGAACAAGGAGATCCCGTCCGAGATTAGCGCAATGCCCAGGTTGGTTCGACCTTTGCCCACACAATGTGCCTAGCATCCGACATTCATCTCAGTAAAAGGCCACTGAGATTCGGTGTCCGTGTTCGAATGACACCTAGGTAGCCGGCCGGTGGTGCCTCGCACGCCTGTAACCCAGCACTGCGGAGGTGAGGGTTTGGTGGATCGCACAAATGTTGTGAAACTCCCTTCCTGTGTGTGTCGAGGTTTCCATACCCTGGCTTGCCAGCAGAAGACGGTACAGCAAAGTATGGACTACTATCGTCTGTCTCTTCAGTATGGGATAGCATATTGCCCCTTCACATGTGTGGGTTTTCGCTTGGTGCTCTGGTTTCCTCCCACATGATTAAACACAACTTAATTGGCTGAAAATATCTAAATATATAGAGGACTGCAGAACTTGGGCGATGGCTAAACTGGGTTCTCAAGTGGCCGCAGTCTTGGTCGCCAGTGAAAGCACATATACATTATTTTATTGAATTGAGCGCTTCACATAATTTGGAAAAATTCCAGCTCCAAGAATGTGACCGCTTTGCGTCGCTCGCAAGGCACTTGGGGAAATAGCATCGCCTCTAATGTGGAAAATTGATCACTGAAAATCACGTGATGAACTCTAAGTAGTTCTGTGCGATCGCAACATTTTAAGGCTATTCTCAAACACAGGACAAGTCACTGCTGTGAGAGTCCCAAATGGGCATATTTTCAGAGCATGACATGATATCAAAAGTACAACTAGAATCTTGACTTAAAGCTTTCGTGACTGCAGGAATTCATATTTGATTATTTTGTATTATATTTTTTTCTATCTACGTGGCTTTACCGAAAGACCCAAAGAATACAACTAGAATGAACGCAAATAAATATATTATACAAAGGAGGTGACGGAGAACTCAGGAATTATCCAGATATGCAACTCCGAAGCCACCAATTTCTTGTAATGGTTTCATTTACCAGTAAACCATCAACTTTACATTGCTGACTGAAAATGTAAAAAGAAAAATTATTACAAGGCGTGGAACGATGCATCATATTCATTGTTTAATATTAATTTTAAGCTAAAGAAACATGCATTAACCACAATATTATGAACCTTGAATCGCGACAATGTTCTCGAATCACTGGCAGAGTCGAATCATACCACTCTTATCAATTACCATGTCACTGGGATGTACAGACCCAGCTCTGTTAGAGGATAGACACAAACCACTTCCCTGTCATTCACCACAGCACTGAAATACTGCAAAACCCCCATACCCGTATCAGTGACGGGCGTGTCTGTGCGGTGGTATTTTAAGCTTCACATATGGCAGCTTCCTAATAGTTTCTTTATTTGCAGGTCCCCATTATTGCCCCAGTCTTCAAGGAAACCGAGCCTGCTTTCAGGGAACCAGGCAGGCCACAAACCACACGTGTCCCCTGGCTCCATCAAGGTGATGAATAGCAACCATTCCAATACACCTTCTTCAGTAGGATTCTTCTTTCGTATGGCTGATGTAGATGCAGAGCAACGACTACAATTTCATATTCAGGCGGTCAAGCCAGATATCCGCGTCAGCAGTAGCGGAGTGTAATCGCGGCATTGCATCGTTATACGTTGTATGGTCTGTTCTGGATGACCACAGTCGCACACTACTGCCATAGTTTGTGCAGTGGATGTGATTTAGGGTGAACCGTAATTTTCGTGGAATATCAAAACCAGGGATCTTTCGCGTTTGGTCTTTCAGTAGGATCATTGATATCAACATCAACTTTGAGCATCAAACAATGCCAATACTTCCCTGTGTGAAGTATTCTCAATTTTTTGTATCACAATGTGGCATATATTTACATTATAATGTGGAAAGACCGAATAGATTATAAGCCGTAATGTAATGTCCCATCTAAATCAACCTTCCGTGACACATTTTGTTTGAAAAGTTTGAGTCAAATTGCTCGTTGTTTCTAATTCGTTTGAAAGCTACTTCTGATTTTAGACAGCAAAGTATGCGATTGTGACCATCAGATCAGTTCTCCCAAGGCCCACTGAGCTATAAAGCTCTTTTTCAGAAGCAACCTGGCCAAAAATGATAGCTCAACGAACTGGCTTATTGTGTGAAAATTTATAGCAGCCAAATACTCTAGATGCATGTTAATTATAAATGTGGTGGGAAAACTGGAGGACCCGAAGAAAAATCCATGCAACCACGGTTAGAGAGAACTTGCAAACTCCAAATATACAGGCATCAGGGTTGGGATCGAACCCGTGACTTCCTGTATACCTTGCGAGGTAATTCATATTTCGCTACCATAGAACCCCAATATTTTACTGCATAGCTGAAGTGGGAATCAAACCTTCGACTTTGCAAAATGGTTCAGTAGTAGTGCATTAAAACGATTGATATTTGTTTAAGCTTGTCCTGTATGTATCTAAAATAGCCTCTCCGAGTCTCGAAACTCTACAAGCACCTCCCATTGGCACGGTTGGCTACGTACGGTGCAAAATAAGTTCAATATACATACATGCATGCATACAAACTCTTCTTCAGGGAAAATTATGAGCCTTAATTGGGTCATAATTTTCCATGAACAAAGAAACATGAAATGGTCTGGTACAGACGATGAATAACGTTTTGCATTTTCCCAAAACAGCAGCACTGCTATTACTATTTTGTAGATGCTGAAAAACTTTGCCGACCACGAAAAAAAATTGGAGACGTTCACTGTCACTGACACAGCTGCTCGTGTTTCTTATTCTCCATTTCTAGACGACATTCTTGCCCATATAAAAATGAGCTTGACAGGATGACACTTGTTGACAGTGTTTTTTTGTTGGTTTACAGAGCAATGTGCTAATCACTGCACCAACCAGCTCCACTCCAGACACATTAGCAGGCACAAAATAAAACGTCTCGATGTTTCTGGAATGTAACCTAAGTTGACATCGGCAGGGCGTGTAAAGCCCGCAGCAATGTTAAATCATGTCCATTTTTAATCCCCATTTTTATTCTTTTCAGAGATCAGAGGAAGACCCAAGAATGTTTGCAGGTGAGTACATGTTTTATTTCAAATACTGCTGCTCATTTCCCTGAAAACATGTCGGAATTTTTCACTGTCAACACCACCACTGCAAATTACAGAAAAACAAACATTTATATTTTTGAACTTTAAGGACTCTGTAATACTAGATTCTAGAAATGTAAAACGAGCTGTTCTGATGTTCATTACACAAGAGCTTACGTAAGGAAATACAACATACAAATACGTTATTTTAACGTATACAATTTTTCAAGTAAAAAAATACAGCACTGATAATAATAATCATAAGATGAATGTGTTCTTTCGTAAAATACATAAAGTCGCTGTCCATCTCTCACTGTTTGGTAATGTTGGGTCAGTGCTTCCAAATATTCTTACTGCCTCTAATCATGGTTTCATTGATTGATGCCACAATGTGTCCTGAAACAGGTGACACCAGCACCAAACAAAGTTTGGGACACAGCTCCTCATTCTCAAGCCGTGGAGGAGGAGGAGCAGCAGTTGGAGGCCTCTCTCCATCTCAGTACTCCATACCACCCGTCAGTACAGATTACACCACTCGCAGGGCACTTCACGCTGGGATTGTTTCACTTCACCGTTATCATCAACAGCCACAATCAATCAACTGTTGAATTAAGGTCTCACCATTAAGGCCTCGCCATCTGTACGTATGTATACGTGGATGTTGAATTTCTTTTGCACTGCACGTAGCTGACCTGCAGGGGAAGGACAACAAACTGTTGAAGCTCACTTTTATTGTTTTTACTTAAGATCACTTAAGGTCAATACCAATTTCTACAATAAAAAACAGTTTATATTTTTTTTATCTCATTTTCACAAATTAGTTTGTCGAGCATCTTATAATTTACTCTCCCAACACCACATATGACTCGGTGCATGATCACTGTGTGATTATCCTAAAATAAGCAAAATATTTTCTTTTACAAAATTGTTGATTTCTTTTTACATAAAGAAGCAGCTTATTTTAAGTTTTGTAACTTGGGGTGCCGCAATGGCACTGAGAACCCAGATTTGATTCCCAACGAAGGCGGAAAATCAGCGGTGTGATAAAATGGTCAGGGGGGGGGGGCACTATCCAGCAGCATATTGACAAAGGGCTGCAAAATGATTTATTTTAACAATAACCTAAGGACTTTCTTAACGTCTACAAGAGAGGGCTGCTTGACCATGCTTCAGCATTGATGGGCCAGTGCAAGTTAGTGATGCCAGAACGAGGCAAACGTGGGCCAGAGGTCATGGGAAACGTAGATTCCATCGTATTAACGGTCAGGAAATTTAAGTGGGCTTCGGCAAAAATCACATCGCTAGCAGGGCACGAATAATGTCCAGTGGATGAGACTGGTGACAATGGTAGTCAAAAGAGAAAAGACACCTTAAAGGATGATAACCACCACAGAGATAAGGAGATTATCTCATTTCCAGGCACGAGATCGATTTAAGCATTATAAGACCAGACCATGAGGAATGGCAACAATGTGGGGAGGTTTTCAACCAGCGGTGGATTTATCTTTTGCTGTTTAAGATGATGGTGGATTTTCTCGCCATGCATTTCTTCCACACACTGTTAGCATCTCGCTCATTAGTCACCAAAACAATGCATGTGCACACAGCATAAATAGGCAACTCCCAAGAATCCAATAATACTCTAATCTGTACAGCAGCATATGGCATAATCATCCTGATTATACTCATTTCATGACATCTAAATGACGTTGTAATATGAGGGGGCATTGACACACCAGACATTAGCAGCAATAGCTGCAAGGAGGGGTCTGTGTGTTGAGATAGAACACTATCCTGGGCCACCACTATGAGTTAATTTGCTCTCTGCCAACGCTGTGATTCATAATAGAGGTTTTTTGGGTTAGATCGCGTAAACACGGTGATTACAGCTTCAGATGCAGCATCACATGCCGTGGCATTACCTTAACCGCTTTAACAGACATGCCGTGTGCACATTAACAATCGCATTGTACTAGATCAGGGGTCGGCAACCAAAATAACAAGAAGTGCATTTTTTTTGCTAATTCTGTTAACAAAAGCCTTTGTATTTAAAGAGCCACAGTGCGAGGAGTACTCTGTGACTGAAGTCCTTAATCCTTAAATATCTGCATGCGGCTCCTGTGCCCCAGGTTGCTGAGCCCTGCACTAGCTGATTCATTCGGACAAAAAAATCTATCCGAATATGTTCATTTGTATTATCCAATAACAGCTGTAAATACTTACCATTGACATGGCCATGAAGGTATCATCCATTCCTGAAGAATTATAATTAGACAGCAGTTTCAACTGCTACGTTAAAATGGTGCAACGTATTCCTTAAGTCTTATTTAAAACCCACGTTTGAAGTGTATGGTACTGGAGGTTTTTTTTTTGTACCACGAGGTGTCAGATGAGTCAGACATAAGGATGGGACATTGAACTACAAACAATGACATCTCAAACATTTGATGTTTTTAAAGAAAAACATTGAGCGTTCAATGAGTGTTTGATATGTGTTTTATTTAAAGTTTTTTTTTATTATTTGAGTGAAAATGAATGTTTTTCTATTGTTGTTTTAGTAACTATTAACAGGAAAGAGATCAGGAAAATTTCTCAATCAATGTTTATTACAGACTTACTTTATCGTAATGAAATAACACAAAAAAATCAGTCAACACTCGCCAACACACGTTACTTTCCAGGATATAGAAATAAAGTGCCACCATGCTGTTGTTGAAGGGTCGAAGCCAAACCGCAACATTCACTTTTGTACTTTCCAAAATGTGGAAAAAAATATTTTGCAGAGTCAACACTTAACCGTGGGAAAATATACATTGCAGCCTATTAACTTTAAACCTTTCTATGGTATATACATCCGGCGATGGTATTTGGAGAGGGACCAGTTTTCACGAAATAACTTTAAAATGGTATATCAGTTACTTTTTGCTGGTGGGAAAAGCACAAAATCGTAAGGAAAACATCACCATTCCGATGCGATCTGAGTCACAACCACAATGTAAAAAGATCGATGCGTCGATGTTTTTCTGAACACTGCGTATCCTACGTGAAACAAGAATTCCAAACGTCGGCAAAGCACTCGCAGAGAGCATTGTAATTTTGAATATGAGGGGCACACTGATATACGGAAGCATATAAAACTCCTGAACGTGTCCAAGCAGCTGACGCGTTAAACACGCAACAATTGTGCTTAAACATCTCGAAATCTATGCTCATCGTATGGAATTAGAAAAGGCACTTTGAGGGGTGGAATGGGAATGCTACAGCGAGTTCTGCATTAAGATATGTAATAAAACAGACAAATACAACGATTGTTTGAAGAAATTCATCTTTTCATATAAAGTGACATTTTCATGCAAGTGCGTGAAGCTATCACTCAAAACTGCATTGTATGGGGAAAAATAACAATCTCATGTTTGTATTGCACATGAACGTGTCAGTCCCACGAGTCGGCGTGTGGGCACGTTTTATGCACAACCAAGTGTGCAGCCTTCTTTAGTCTGGATAAGACACCGTACGTGCTGCTACAAACCGCGATGTGCTCCAACAGCACGCCGTGCCAAAACTCGCGTAGGATATCCCGCACGACTCTCATCGACCAATAAGATGGTGGCTCCTCCACACTGGTCATTGGCCAGTAAGGAGAATTTTCAGTTATACCTTTTCCCATGACCATCAAACTTACCAGACCTAATGCCAATGGACTACGGTACTTTGGATTTGGTCACGTGAAATAAAACGTCAGTGTCAAAAATTTTGTATCTTGAGTGAACTTCAACAGCACATGACAAGCATTAGAAACAATTGTAGCCAGGGTATTGGTGAACACCTAGGACTCTCAAATTTCGATGCGACATGCGTCGCAAAAGCTACGGCAGATTTATGGGGGTTTAAACGAAACCCATATGATAAAATCTTCATACTGTCAAGTTTGTGTGTGTAGTTTTATGGACATAGCTCAAACTGCTATATGATTATAAATATTGGATGATGCCCTTATGGACATGCTCTCAAAATAGATACTTACTGCTTTGTAAAGTTGATATTATAGAATGTGTTATTGTGCATTGGATACCAATGTCATGGCCCAAAGTTTTCTAGAATAATAACACAGCAGGAATTCCCCTTTTGCTGAATTGCCTCAATTTCAGTAATTGGCATAAAGATGAACAAAACTTAAATATAATAAAATCTGCTCATACATGCGTATGTATATCTCTCTTATAATAATTGCCATATGTTGTTGCTTATATTTATATTGAATGAGTGAATACATGAACACAATTCTATATTATACATATGCAGTGCAGTTACCCAAACTTGTATCTCTTTGCAGGAAATAAACAATTGTGATCGAAAGACTGCAGAAGCCATGGTGAGAAAAAATAATAAGGTAATTGAGGGAAATATCAGTGTAAACAAAAGGGAACTACTGTATATATTCAAATTGAGTGTCACAGACTATTAATACGACTAAAATATTGGTAAACGTGCAACGTAAATACTTATTTGTAAGATGGTGACATGGCTCAGAGATCAGACAACTGAGCCAGCACCACTGAGAGTCTGGGTTCGAATATGGCTTTCCGTCACTCATGATTAAGCTGGACCTTTTTTTTAAGGGTATTGCTTGGACGGTCTCAACACGATCTCACACTTAATTTGGCGAAATTGCAGCTATAAAATAAATATATATAATTATTAATTAACATGTGACAATCTCGGAGCAGAATGTGTGAGGAAATGCTCCCCCTACTGTTCAAAGGATAAAAAGGCCCCTAAATGTGGATATTTTTTTTGTTTAGAAGTTGTTTGGGAAAAAAAAAACTCTTCCACAGCCATTCTGACACGTGGTCAAGTGCCCTGCTCTGGCAAGACTCCTGAATAAAAATGTTTTGTATATTCATGGCAGATAGAAACATTGGAAGCAAACTCGGGAAAATAGCACGGTTATAATGTAAAATGGATTTGGGTGAGACACACACACACATCTACGCATGTGTTACAGCGTCAAGAACGTTGCTGAATGCTCCGTGTGCATTTCCAGTATCCTTCTTGTAGTTTTATCACACACAAAAAAAATATATATTTAAAATAAATTGGAGAAACATACCAAACAGGAAGTTGAGTACTGAAACCACAATACGGCTTTTTTTATTTAAATAGATAAGGTATTATTATTTATTAACCCTTACAAATATCTGTCTCAAGCAAGCATGGAGTGGTGCTCATCTCTATTAAAGGCCCTGAGGCAGCCGTTACAATACCACATTCATATGGCAGGGGCCAGCCTCTTCAAAGGACAAGCACTCGCTGTATTTATTATTTAACAAACAGAAAAGGTAAATATGCAGTCCTCCATTTGCTCACTCTCACCACGACTGGAGGCAGGGCCTCCAATAGAGGGAGCTCTCGAAACCCCCCCGCCGCCCCTCTTGAGGATATTTATTTAGATTCCTACTCTTCCACACCGACCAGATGTCTTGAAAGAGTTGGGGTGTACCCACACTTTACCCCATCACATGCGACCTACTGCACAGGCGGGGAGATTCAAGAAACTGGCCCAATGTTTCAACTGCCGTGCCAGGAGCTTGAACCAGCAACCTCCAGTTTGCAAGCCATGACACCATGAACTGCTCTTTGTGTTTAGATTGTTGTTCATCCTCACACTTTCGATCAGCACGGTTGGCTATATACGGCGCAAAAGAGGTTCAACATAAATACATATAATATCCCAAATAGACAAACCAGGACATACTTAATGATGTGCAGCTATGCAGCTGTTCAAGGTTCAACTCATGGGGCTTAACAACAAACAGAACATACTGCTAAAGACAATGCCGTTCAAATACATGATATATTAAGACCTGCTGTGGATTAACAACTTCTTTTCCAATTGAATCATCCAGGATGGGGCGTTCATGGTGAGGACAAGTTCCAAGGACAAAACAAACCAGCCGTACACACTCGTCATTTACTACGAAGAGAAAATATTCAACATTCCCATTCGATACTTGGAAAAGTATAATCAATATGCACTGGGTACAGAAAAGGTCAAAGAAGAGGTAATGTCTTTATAACTTTATTTGACTGCTGATTGCACATTTTTTAAAATATAAATATCCTTTTAAAATATAGATGGTACTGTGCTCTATCTACAAGTAGAGGCAATTGAATTTAATTATTTTGGAGGAGGCAGGCACAGCGTGACAGCTGGAGCGGGAGAGAGGGACACAAAGAGGACAAGTGTAGTGACGTGCTATACCACTACACAAGGCCTGGCTATAGAGAGGACCCCTACAAGTGAGCTCTCTCCAAACTGACTGACATGGAGACAACAGAGAGACACAGACACGCAAAGAGGAGACGGACACAGACGGTGACATAGAAAGAGCCAGACACAGAGACACATGAAGAGTGACACGGACAGATTGACAGTCAGAGAGACAATAGGCAAACACAAAATAGATGGCATTGTGCACTGATAGTAACTATTGTACTGTATTAACTTCATTTAGGAGAGCAGTGCCCAAGATAAAATACTTTGGGTGGGAGAGAGGGGGTGTTACATTTTTTTGCGTTAAGTTGTATGTATGTTCAACTTATTTTGCACCGTACATAACCAACCATGCTAATCGGAGGTGCGGGGGAAGGACAATAGATCTCTACTGGTTTTGCCTACACTACGTTCACATTTGTCATCACAATAATACCGGGACACGGTAATAACGTTGTTCGTGTCAGGTACCAAAGAGGGCCTACAAAACAATGAACTGAGCCACAAAGTGTTGTGCCCCTGTCCACATGTTGAGGAGGGAGGCAAGGGGCAGCTGCCACGCTGCTGCCTCTTAACATTGATCTCTTTTTGAAAGCATGGGATTTGACGATTGCTAATTGTTCGCACAAAAATGTTTATTTTTGTTTTTCAATATGTTAGAAATTTGACAGTATTCTGGATATCATTGAACATTACAAGAAAATGCCACTGCTTCTCATCGGGGGACAGCATGGCATCAAGAAGTCAACACTTCTAATTCATCAGGTCAGGATCTGAAGATTATCCAAGGTGCTGAGAATGTGCTTGCCACACCTTCATTATAGACTGGCCTTATGACCAAATGCATCTTTTTCGATAAATAAGGACACCACCTGCCTCGCCCAAGCTATGCAAGTTCGTTTACATGCATCACGGAAGGCCAAGTAGAACACCAATTGCAATGAAACGAATGCAAGTCTCGGTCAGATGCCATGAATTTATTATGCATATACTTACCGCACGTGTGTCCACTCCATTTCAAAGTAAACTAAACGTTTACTGTTAATATTAAGCATCTGGGTAATTTTAATCTCTTAATTTTTTACTCACACCGAGGTTTAAAAGTCTTTGCTTTGGGATTAACCTCTATAAGAGATATATTATGTACCATTGCACTGTATAGCGTTGTATGTATAGCTGGATAATGAGTGTTTTGTGCGAGTAGTTGGCATCATTCTGTCTTCAGCAGACTTATTCCAGAGCAAAATGTATTAAGTTACTCAATCTCTGTACAGATCATGTATGCATAGACTATATATAAGAGTTACAGGATGGCAATGGACATCAAATATATTTAGCTATTTTCTTCGAACATTTATAGTACGGAGTGGACAGCCAGGGAGATTTTGTGGTAATGTGAGTTTAAAAGAGTAATGTTTACGACTAAAACATAACAGTACATTCTGTAGTACATGTGGCTTAAGGGCAAATTCCCACAATGTCAGAGAAGTGAATGTGTACCTCTGAGAAAACAGGGTTTTGCACCCTAAGGCTGATAATAACAAAATAAGTATAACGAAATCAGTCATAAGCATATTTGTTCTGACATACATTGTCTAATGACTAAATTATCTTGCACATAACCAGTGGTTTCAACCTCGACATAGATTTTTGCAGTTGTGCTGTACAACTCTCCAATGTCTTTTGGATATATGATAAGCCATTCCGCTTGATATCCAATGCCTCGCTCATCCACGTGCTCGGAGCTTTTTCAGAAACGTAAGCTGCCTCGTTCAGTTCTTGAAGGAGCTCCCAGTAGGCGGAATGAAACATCATGCATCACTCCGAAACGACACGCGGTACACGACCCCCCAAAACACATCGGAGAGTGATTCATTTCCTGTGGGGGCCCGAATGAACGAACTGTCTGCTATTAAAGAGCAACAACGTCTGCTGCTGTGTGGTGGATTCCATTTCCAATATCTGTAAATGACGAGAAAACCCATCACAACGGAATACATTGAATGTTAAAGAGCATATATATACACGAGGCTGTGACATTTGCGAGAGTCGTGGTGTTACCGCATACATCCCAACATTTTTTTTCCAAACTAATCCACACCGGACAAGTGTGGTTTGATTTTGTGACCTTTCTCAGTCAATGGAAGTAAATGTCTAAACTTGCATGCATAACAATGAGAAACAGGTTTGTTTTCCTGTTGCATGACAAATACCACGTGGCATGTTAAGTAAAGCGCTCTATTAGCACTGAGTGATAACGCTTTTTTTTTGGTCAACTGACAGCCCACATTAATCGCTTAACAAAAAAATAAAATACCATGTACCGGTAACTACCATTGACCAAACATCTTGATGCTGAAATATAACCTGCAAACCACTCAGATGGGATCACGGACAGCAGCAGCAAGATCGACACGACTCGAACACTTGGCAGGACCCTCCTGAAAAGAGTCTTGAGACTCGGTGAGGCTTTTCTGGGATATCCAACATAATAATTTCCAGATCTGCCAACGTCACTTGTACTTGTCAGTCGTTTCAAAACAACCATTACTCCGATATGATGCATTACTGCATGGATAACGAGAGATACGATGGAATTGTCATTTAAGAAATATAAAAATGAACAGTAATTACAATTAGTCAACAGCCACATGCCTAAAACTGAGGTGCAAAACTATCTTTGATGCTATTCTTTGGGTCTTTCGGTAAAGTCACGTAGAACATTTTTTTTACAAAAACTACTGCTTTGTTCTTCGATGAAACGTTATTTAGAATGTATGTTATGTTGTATTGTTCGCTTTATTTTTACAATTTATGTCTAACATATATCCTTAACAGGAGGCTTTTGCATAATAGCTTTGCGATGTCAACGCAAATGGTTTAATATTATTGAGGTATAAGCAAGGTATAACAGTACATTTATCATGAATAAGGCCATGTGTTTTCACATTCAGCTGTTGGACAATAAAAAATGAAATACAAAACATTGTGATGCAATTATGTTTGTCAATATTTATGCATATAGCTTACATTGAAATGCATCTTTTTAGATGTTTATTTTACACATTTGTTTAGTTAGCGTCAACATTTTTTTTGTAACGTTTCGACAGAAAGTGAAATCTCCATTGTGCATTTCTGAAATGTCCCAGGTGCCTGAATGATCTATGGTCCGTTCAGGGGCTAAACCATTCATTAGGGAAACTCAATTTCCGGTTGGCATGAACAACCTTACTCAAATTGAATGTCCCGCATATTTCTCAAATAGAGTCACCATACATGCAAGTGTAGGTAACAGTTGTGAAGAAATCCAGTTTGTGTGTGGCTTATTAATCATTCTGCTTTGACGTCTGGTACAAGCTATGTAATACAATAATGTGCGCAGTCACCATATATAGAAGTGTAAACCTACATGACTGGAACGTTCAAGTGTTCGCATAATCCTACTGCTGAGATCGAGAGAACGAATGTGCTCCATGTTAAAATGAGTTACCTATGGCATGATATAAATACGTTTATTTAATAAATTGCCTAAAAAAAAAAACAGACCAAATACCATGCCATAGTTAGCACATTCTATTTAGCACGGTTTGTACTTAAAGTTTTATTTAAAGTGGATTTCAAATGAGCCTAAGAATGGTTAATTCCTACATGAAAAACTAAGATTGTTGTCCTTCCCCCGCACCTCAGATCAGCACGGTTGGATACGTACTGTGCGAAATAAGTTGAACATACATAAATGAAACAGAGTTGCACTAGAAGCAGAGAAACGCATTACAATTGTGGGATTTACATTTTTAAAATAAACTGACCTGGACGAATGTTTATCAGCCCCTGGTTATTTCAAACAAAACCTTTACTCTATTGTTGCATTGCTCTTTAATATGCACCACAATTAGCACACCAGAGTAGGAATGTGGCCTCATTTTAAATGATAAAAGGGCTTCACCAATGACCTCCCATTCATAAATATTCAAATATCAAACCATTACCTTTTTCAAAAAAGTATGCCCATTGAAACGCGGCTGATTTTGCTGAAAAAAAAACAAATATCTTCAACATATTGTGACTCAATTGGCTCTAACGTGCGTCCGTCGTTAGAGGGAGGAAGGAACGCTGGCAGATTCACTCGTTAATTCACACGGTAATTGGACACCTAGGGGTCAAAAGTAAGACTTGTAAACAAAACCAGCTTGTCCTGTTCTCCCATTCGACAGCTGCAATGCCTCCCAACTTGCCCCGGCAAGTGCAATCGGAACGATGCATTGTTATAAAACTGCACTGGGGGTTTTCCCATGGAATATGCAAATAAAAGGGAAGCGGAGTGGTTCACACAATGCGCTATATTAACCTGGCCACCTGATTTCAATTCTTGGAACCTGAGTCAGATGGTGCCTGATAAGATGGAACCAGCGCAAACCGCCTCAATCTTACACCAGCTTGGAGTGTATTAGGTCAAGGAAGCCCCTACGACTGAACAGCGTGGAGAGGTCTTCGTCCAGCAGTGGATTAACAACGGGCTGTGAATGCATGATACAAATAACGCATATTCTTTTAACTCGTTCTTACATGCACGCATACGAACAAAATAATCCTAAAACGTTATGATGTATGTTGCTGACCTTTGTCCAGACTCAAATGTGATATTCTGTGCCAGTTTAAATATAGTTACGTGGGAAACACATTTACTTTGCAGTGTTTAAGCCTTAAAAGTCGGGTTAACGTTGTGAATTTGCTAACCAATTGTGTTCTGCTGTATAAAATCAAGCATTCAGCCGATGAAACTGAACGTGGAGTACAAAATAATACTGATCACAGCAAAGTTAGATCTCTAAAGCAAGGTACTTCGCTTCAGCACATAATGCATGTGTGATTGGACAGGTAGGTGCTTAAAACAAGGGTCATTGTTGCCATATACGTTACACACACACAGGAAATGCGTAATACTATTGCAAGAGCGCATCGCTCTACGCAGGTTATGGCTGTATATGATATTTTCAAACACGAGAAAGAATGGTGATACCGTTTGCTTGCACTGGATGGATGGATGCTGCTGAAATTATGCAATCCCAGAAGGTCTTGAGGCCGATGGGTTTTGTAAAAAAAAACCTAGCTTATGTCGAGAGACAGATATTTGAAGGAGACAGTGTCCTACTTATTAATATATTTTGTTTCGCGTGGGAGAAGTTCCTCCAGTCGGGAGACCTTTTCACAATCTCTACCTCCGGGGGAGGGGGGCTTAATTTTACACCTCATGTGGACATAACCTTTTCGAATTCCCGTGAAGTCGACTTAACTGGTGTTGTCACATTGAAGTCGAGAATTCCGCGTGCTTGTGTAAAAAGGGCGCAATGTGTTCAGCATCCGACTCACCCATAACTCAGCAGCTCTGTTCGTACCGTCTCTCCTGCCGTAAACTTTTCAAATATACAATTCCTATCCCCCCCACCCCACCCACCCACTGGAACCAACTATAACATTGGCTTCGTCAGCCATTCTGGATGGTGTAATGAATTATCGACGCAAAGGCTTCACGTAGATAATGACCATGTGGCCATATGCTCAATTACTACCGCTTCAGACTGAGTTAATTGCAGTGTAAAACGGTTTGGCAGTGCTCTATCGTGCTTTGTGGAGAGGTGTTTGCACTGTCAATGACTCTTTCAATATGGATACTGTCATTGTGCCGAAAAAAAAGTATTCGATTATTTGTTTCGCAATTGTTACAGCCCTATGCACAAATACAACACTGTACATGGTGGTACAGATGTTTTGTGAACCCCCCCCCCCCATTTAATTCTGTAAAACGTACTGTTTTTTAAGTGTTATTTTTCAAAAAGATATGAGCACGTGGATATAGTTGTGGGTCACAAAACATATGGACCCCCTGTATACCTCGGCTGGTATACAGGAGGTCATGGGTTCGATCCTAACCCTGGCGCCTGTATATTTGAAGTGCGCCTGTATATTTGAAGTTTACATTTTCTCTTCCCGTGGTCGTGGATTTTCTCAGGGTCCTCCGGTTTTCTTCCCTACACATTTAGAGACACGCGTTTAGTGTATTTGGCTGCGATACATTTCCACATAAGCCACTTTGTTGAGCTATCATGTGGCCAGGTCGCTTCTGATAAAAGTTATATAGCCGAGTGGGCCTTACCTGCTAAAATCTAACGTTTCTAGTAGTTGTGACGTTTAGCATTTCCTTATCGCCAGCACACGACTCTTCCTTCACCGTTTGTTGACGCATCGTCCGTTGTGTGGAATGTGGCTCAGGATAGGGAGTAGGGAGACACCGTCAAGATTAACAAGCTGCGATTCCTCATTTAGAACACCTCTTATTTTTGATGTGGGGGTGACCAATATCCTGGATTCTAATATCCACGGGGTTAACCGCAATTTTACTCCACGGGATGAATTTGCCGCGCGATTCCTAACTGCGAAAAATCGTGAATAAAAAGCAATGCCACAAAAATCACAAGTAGCAGATAATGGGGGCACGGATAACATAAGGCTTTTTCATGGACCCTGCATATCTCATGGACAATTTGGAAGTCATGATTATATTGTGTTGAGATGTCACCCTCACTCCTGAGACCACGCAAATATTTGTTTAGCATTGTAAAGCAGTGTGGAAAAAAAAAGACGTAATAGGGGTATTGATTTGACGTTGTGCTTTTAATAATGCCCTTTGAGGTTATGATCCAACAGATGCAGCGACAGGATGATGCACAACAGGTTACAACCCCGTCTTTTTAAAGTCATTTTTAAAATACAACTATGGCAATGTTTCCAAATAGACGATGCAAAAGTGTGGAAATGTCAAAATCAGTAAACAGGGCAAGGAAGCAACATTAGGTTGAAAAAAAAACACCAATTATAATTAGGATAAAGCCCCAGGCATTCAAAAGCCACTTGGATTAAGCAACTGTTGTAGATATTCATTGTAATCAAATGAGCAAAGGTTTCTACATCACCCGTGCTATAAATAAGTTAAAATAAACATGTGCTGCATCATTTTGGTGGAACTAGAGCACCATAAGCTTGAACACAACATACAGTGTCAAGTTACGTACAAGAACAATAATTGGCTTAAGAGACAGATGACCTTAAAATTGCCAGAGAAAGTTTAAAAATATATATTTAGGATACAGTATTGATTATTGGGAAATGTACATGTCCTTAAAAACAAAGTCCCCATGAGAACATACAACTCACTGATAAGGCACCTCGTTATATTTTAATTAAAACGTGACTTCAGCAGTGTACCAATGTCAATGTGTAATTTAAGATGACTTGTAAAATATATTGTGGAAGGGAGAGTATATACACTTTTGTTAACAGCAAATGCAAAGTATACCGTTGCTTGTATGCAGTAAAATGCCTCGGTTGCCTATTTGTGACATAAGGACACTTTTATAGGTGCTATGGAAGGTCACACAGACTAACAAAAGCTACGGTTTGCAGTAGCCATTTCCTATACAGCATGTACATTGCATTGAGTTTCCATATTGCATAACCCACCCTATTACGCCAGTCATCTATAGCCACGAACATTAGTGAACACCATTGAAAATGTTACAATGGTCCAATCCGTTTTAACTGGAGTATATGTCCAAATGGTGATGGCCTAATTTGATCAAATATGATTATTTATTGCTGTACAGATTTCCAGTCCGACAAAGTTACCAGTGACGTTTTTAAGTTCTTCTAGTTTGGCACAAAACACAATTACCACCAACTGGGGAGAGAACTTCAAAGCAATGCAAGCCATTTAAATTAAAACAGGTTACAGGGGATTATTTGTTTGCAAAAGGGTTCCTTCATTCAAATTTTCATTTACAATAATTTTTTGGAAAAACATCAATTTTTTTATTAAGAAAAAAACATTTTTTTCTAAAAAAAATTTCTTCCAAATATCCAATCAGACAGCAGTGATTGTTGCACCATAATACTTCGCACAAAAGACCGCAAACTCATGACA